AGTGGTAATCGGTTAAGGATTGCACATACAAAAATTAGTTGGTAATGTGGGATGAAGTTTGTTCATGTAAGACTTAGTTGTCGAGGCTGTTTGAATATGTGTCAAAATATTTATGAGAAAATTTGTTAACAGCAAGATATATTGTTCTGCCCCCAAAGGTCCAAATATAGTTTATAATTAATGGCCCATAATTCTCAACGTCCCTTACAGTAGAAAATACAAACTTTCTCAGACAACCGTTCGACGTGTCGGTCCAACTAAGTCCTGATCCTCAAGTGCTAAGAACAGAAATGTCTCGCTAAATATCAATTTATAACATCTCCGTGAAGCAATCGTAGCGTGAAAAGTCGGGGGAGCAACGGGAATCCAGTCAGGACATTAATGAGATAAATCCGTCAGACAGGGTAGTCCCGGTAATAATGAGGAGCATTTTTATAACGAGCATCGCCACAGTGAAATCATCTCCTGGGAACAGGAGCAGGATAAAACTGAAGAGATGCCTGTACGAACCAGCGTCTACCAGCATCCTCCATCTATCCGTCGTCGTCGTCGTCGTCGTCGTCGTCGCGGGGAGACTTAATTATCTAATTAATTAACCTCAATCAGAACGATGAGTAATTTCTCGGTTCGCTGGCGCCTTTGCCGGCGTCGAGACTTTCTTGTCACGCCGACTGTGGCCCCGAATTACGGATGAGTTCACGGCAAATCGATTATGTCCCGATGCTATTGCCCCGGCCTCTATTTAGGCGCAGCATCCAGGATCCACGATCCTCCGGCGTTATCCTGTTTTCGCTGCCCCGACCAATTTGCTCCTGCCAGCCCCTTTTCGCTCGTCCTCTGCACAACCGCCTTTATCTTCGCCTCTCTTACGCCGATCGCGCGATAACTCGCTCGTGAAACGACCACACGAGTTTCATCGGTGATCCTTCGTCTGGAAATTGTGTTTCTATCGCTAAGATCGTTTTCTAAGAACGTGGTAGTAAGTCTGGTTCCGTTCTTTGACGGTGTTGATACTTTTAGTGCATTACGACGGCTTTCTGACTATGCTTTTTCGAAGCTAATTTCTTTAGTTTGTTAAGTTATGACTATGTTATGTGAATTATTGGAGATGTTCTTCGGATAAATTGATCACATAATGATGACACATAGAAGGTGGAGTTTGGTGAACACTTGTGACAAGTCTATGAACTTGCATAATGTTAAGCATAATGAAACATGTCTATCTACGAACAAAAATATAAGATGGATAAGGTAGGATAAAATGTATAAAGTATTTAAGAAATTGTAACAATCGGAAGCAAACCTGAAGAACGATTAAAAAAAATTGTTTCAATTAATGTTATAAGTAAAGAGATTCATCTTCACCAAGTTTTCTAAAATCAATGTCTCCTATAATACAGGCTGTCCCAAAAAGGTGCTCAAACATTAACTTTGAAATAAAAAAGTTGAATAACAGCAAGTTATTTAACCTTGATCAAGGTATCTGTTACCATATTTAGAGATAATACAATAAACTAGAGATAGGTAATGTGTCATTGAGTCTTTTCAAACTGTTCATATATTCTTGCATGTAGGTAAATGTTCGAGTACATATTTTGTAACACCCTGTATTCGTATCATTCGAACAATATTCTGTTCATAACCGTCCACCCCTAATTTAATCATCATCCACATCCGCGTAACGAAATAACCCGCAATCATCAGAAACCAGCATTCGACACCCTGTATCCACCGATTCAAATCATTTATCCACCCCATCTTAATAACACCTCGCATTCGTCCCTCGAGTAGAAACTCTCAAATTCCAACTGGCAAGTCTTCAGCCATGTTTCACGATGCAACAAAAGCCACCCTACGTTTCACCCCTGCCCCAAACCAGTGTATCTGACGTTTTTGACGCGTCAAGTGGATTGAGCCGCGAAACGTTCATAGAAACGTCGATATATATATCTATCGGCTACTGTTTTACATAAACATCGTCTCGTTAGGGGTTGAAACAGGAAATCGCGTAAGGGTGACACGCAGCGCTGATTCCTCTAAGTGATCTCAAGTGTTTTCGCAGTTGACTCGCGGCGTGTTTGTCCGCGTACAACGAAACACCGACAGCGTTAGCGAGCTTTTTAAGCTTGGTTTAACCCTGGCCCCGGGCCCTCTTTCTAATGGGGATAACTTCGTATTTAGTTAGTCAACCCTGGCCGCGAGGCGCGATGGGAAACGACAAGTGGCATCTCCATCTCGCCGCTTGTCGAACCACCGCTGCCTTTCATGTGCTAATTCTTGTTTATTTAATCGAATGCTGACGATGATCGACCCAGCGAATGGGGCAACGATCGCCGGGGGATTAATTTCTAATGTGGTTTAACTGGACGATTGGACCATTGTATGATATGGGGTGATACAGATTTTTGACTCATTCTTCCCCAAATCTTGTAGTTCCACTGTTCCAAAATTGTAAAAGTTTTGAAACTTCTAAAACTTCCAAAAAATCTCAAAAGTACCAAAAACCCCAAAACCTCCAAAAATTCCAAGAATCTAAAAAATCATAAAACTTCAAAAAATCACAAATGTCTAGAAAATCACAAAACCTTTAAAAATACCAAAAGTACCAAAAAACCCAAAACCTCCAGAAATCCACAGTCTAAAAATCCTAAAACTTAAAAAAATTCCAAAAACTCCAAAACCCCCAAAAACCCAAAACCTCCAAAAATCCGAAGAATCTAAAAAATCCTAAAACTTCCAAAAATCCTAAATGTGTGGAAAACCACAAAACCTTCAAAAAATCCTAAAACGTCTAGCAATCCCAAAAATCCGAAAAACCAAAAAATCCCAAAAACCCTAAAACCTTTAGAAATCCCAAAAGTCTAAAAAAATTCCAAAAACCCCAAAACCTCAAAAATCTCAAATGTCCCTAAAACGTTAAAATCTCCAAAAATTCCAAAAGTCCCTAAAATCCTAAAACCTCCAAAAATCCCAAAAGTCCAAAAAATCCGAAAGAAGCCATAAAAAATCCCATCGTCCCAGATTTAAAGTGATATAGCGATCGCAACAAAAGCGAATGAAAAATTTTCTTGTAGTTGCAGAGAATGGTCGATTATACGGGATGTATCGGACGTCGCGGCGTCGATGATCGATTCTTGTTTGCGACCGGACGAGAGACAGATCGCGCGAGTGAATTGTCGCGACACGTTGAATTTTTCACAACGAACTCGTCGACCACGTAAATTACGGTTTTGTTTGGACCGTTCGTTTCCCGTGGACACAGGTTGATCCTTGATCGAGCCGATTGTGTAACTTAATTGTGCGCATGAATTCTATATACGGCAGCCCTTTGACCAGCCTGACAGATTGTAAATTACAGAACCGCGGGATGTAATCAATGAATTTTAATTGTTGTTAAAAACCTTCTGTGCGCTGCGCGGCATCGCGGTATGTAATTGCTCTTTTAATTATGCCGCATTATCGCGGAAAGGGTTTTTAATCGCGCGATGAATCAAAGTTTTATTCTCATGATTGAAATTTGAATTTGATCATCTCGTCACTCGTAAATGTTTTATCGGCTAAGTGGCATAAATTGTTTGACCATGATATTTATTTAACGAAATGAGAACAATTATTGTTATTAACCGCAGTGGAAAATTGTAGACACACAACACGGAATCGATAATTGAATTTCACTTCTACGTTTGTTTGCTCACGCCATTTCCATTACACCGTAATTACCGGCGATACAATCAAAACAAGCAGAGTAGAATCATGTTCTACGTGCCCTCAAATTAATAAATGTTCCATTTTCACGCAACGTTCTACGTTGCATTTTAATTTCTCCTTCGCCGAAATTCTCGCTGATACAAATAAAATGTTATTAACCGCCACGCGTTCTCGAAATAAGTTCTCGTTAAAACGCATTAACGTTCCCGTATTTCGCGGATTTTTTTCGCGAAATCACGGGAAAACGTTAATAACGCGATATTCGACAAATAACACTTTCGACGATAATTTCGGAGCCGCGGTTTCGGATCCTCGTAAAATTATAAAGGCCGACTCGCTAAAAGCGTGGATACCACGGACCAATTAACATCTTCGTAAATCACCGGCGAATTACTTTACGAGCTGCCCGTGATAACATCGCTGGACGTCTCATCTCGTTGGGTAATTTTATACATTAACTGCCGGCATAGAAATATCTTACGTAGGAACCGATTACGATGGGAGTTGTGGGTAGTCAAAGTGAATTTAATGATTAATCGTATTTAAATCATTAAAAATTTCAGGTTTATTTTCCTGTGATTTATTAACGTTCGTTTAGCGAAATAATATTAAAAAGTATTGAGATAAAAATAAAATGTTCATTCCTCTCAATAATTAATGTAAAGGGTTGATATACATGTAGTAGTTATACATAGCAATTACATAATAGTTATTACATAGCAGTTATAATAGTAGTCATTACATAGTAAACACGTAGTCAATGATAGATGAGAGATTTTCAAATAAATTATGCAATTTATAATTTTTAAAAGAATCCACTTTGCACCCTTTCTGCATCGCATACCTCTTACTCTCCCTTTGCACCCCTCTTGCACTATAGTGTACCTATTTTTACATTACACCCCTTTTCTATTTACGTTTCTGCATTTGCTGATCCTAGCTTTCTTCAATTATTTACTTAACCTCTTTTATTTTATCCTTCATGTTACAGTTCGTTATCAATTATCAGCGTCGTTTTCCGTGCACCGTCCCACACAATCGATACCAGGGTTACTGCAAAATTATGTCACCCACAGAAATAGTACCCGGGTGGTTTACTAATATTTTCGCAATAATCGTTCTTGACTTGACACGAAATATCGTATCCTCTTAAATATTGTATCCTCTTAATTTGTCGCCCAAATAGACGATTAAATTGATTCGATTACCACTTCAAGAGATTCCATTTTCATACTCTTCCGTTCAAGAGTTTTAAGAACGTCAAGGTAAAACTTCTGCTAACAACCAGCATTCGATTCGTATTTTTATTGTAATAATTACAGCGCAGAAGTTTGATCGATGTAGCTTGAACTAATTGAATTCAAATCTTGATACCAGGGTAAAAAATTATTAAAAAAGGAATAGAATATAGCGTGACTCAGTGGTGGTTCACGCTATCGCGTAGTATGAAGTTGTTATGAAGCAGTGGTGAGTCACGCCACGTCGGACGTGCTACTTTATAGTCGCGAACAAACATTACTATACAATCTTTAATAGCGAAATTGCATCGGTATAATTAATGGTATTAAGATTGCGACACTTTGTAAGATATTTTTTAAATTAATGACCGAATTAATGGCAATACTTTTAAGATTTCCGATAAAATAAACTCCTTCAATTTTCTCTAATCGTGAGTACAACGTTATTTTTTAATGAAAAGGCAAGCTATTAGTTAACGTATTATGACTCTATTATTACAACAGATTTGTATAATGTATTCAAATGAAACTTTAAATATTATATACATATGGGGTTTCATAATTTATGTTAAATATTCTGTTTTCATAGAACGTTTGCTATGGCTTTTTTTAATGTAAAATGAGCCAATTAGCATAATTATGTTATCAGTATTGTGCTAGCTAGAGAGAAAAATACTATGATTGTACAATCGATTTCTATAAACTGCATTTAGGTTAGGTTTTCTGCATTTCCGTGAACTGCATTTAGGTTAAAGCCATACCTTCCGATGATTCATAAACTCCACGTTCTTCAAGCTCCATCTTCAAGTATATGTGTCACGCCATAGTAGAGAAGGTTTACACAGCATGTACATCAGAAAAATTTTCTGCAAACACGATTTTATTTACACAATATCAAAATGTTATTGTCTAAAATTTTAAACTGAGCTTCTAGATAAAAATGTCACAAAAGACATTAAAAAGAAATATTACAATTTGCAGACGAACTATGATTAAATTTTGAGTGACAACCACTACATGATTAATTAGAATAATTACCAATTTCCTTTTTCTTTCAATTTTATAAACTGACACAAAATGGACCTTGTTCCAAATTGTGCGCCTCTGTGCCCCAATAACAATTTCAAATAAAATAATAATTTCAATTTCAAATAAAAAAAATAACCTCTCTAAATTCACTAACATTGCAAATTGATAAAAGCACCCTATCCTAAATCGACTTTGAAAGTTCTCGACAGTCGATTATTGAATTCCTAACCAAGTTCAGTATGTTATATCATTAAAGGCGGATAGATTTTCGTCTCTCGTTTACCAAAGAGACGTGTTTCGCGTCGTATCGTCTCTATTTTTCTCCTCAGCATTTTTCCAACGCGTTTCCTTTACCTGCGAACAATATGGGAGCCTCTTCAGCCAACTAATGGATTGCATCCGCGAAGATGTTCATGCAAAGGCGGAGCTACTTCTCTCGGCTGACGAGATCCTATCCGATCCTCAGTCTCGTTGACATATACGATCGTCAAGTAAATCTTGTTAAATCACACCCCGTACTCCTGTGATTTCTAACTGATTCCCATCTTATTACGTCCCAGTCGTTCATACGGGCGTACGTGTTGGACAACGTGTACGTCTGCATATTGATGCACATCCTCTTCTACGTGGCACTATGGCTCGTTACTACGGTATGATTCATACGGTTTTATGTTACTTATAGTTTTGTCGATAAACCTGGTAATATTTGTTTAATATTGGAAGTTTTTGGGGTTACAAAGAATTATGTTTATGAGTTGCAAGTTTGGGTACTGAAATATTTGTATTTGTATCTTTTTTGTATTTTTGTATTTTTACATTTTTATATTTTTATATTTCTATGCTTCCATATTTCTATATTTCTATATTTCTATATTTCTGTATTTCTACATTTTTACATTTTTATATTTCTATATTTCTATTTTTCTGTCAAATCTTGAATATTACTGAAAATTCTTTGAAATGGTACACTTTCAGTATGGCAACTTTTGTAACAAAATTTATTTCTGCTTTTCAAGAAATTTCACATAAAGACTACAATTTTTTAGATTTCAAACATTGCAATTTTAATCGTTGTAATTACTCAAATATTTCAATTTTTAACCACTGTAATTTTTCCAGTATAGCATTCTTTTAATAACTGTAATTGTTTGACCTTTAAATTTTTTAAACATTGTAATTTTTCAAGCACTGCAATCTTAAAACAATTTTGTTATTTTCAGAACAGAGATGTGGTCACATATTTAGATACAATTTTACCTTAGTTACAATAGAAAAGACTGTAGTCTGAATTTTAGTTAGTTGGTTCAATTAAGTTCTACAAATATTTGTCCATGAAATGTTTTGATACTGTGTTTCATTATAGATAATAAAGAAAATGGAGAAGTCGAACAACCAGATGCTGAAGATCGTCGAAGAAAATAGAACGGTACATAGGTCAATCGATACTGATAACCTCTCAACATTATCGATTTCTTGTTTGAGTAATTGTTGCAGAGACTGCAGGACGTAGCTGCATTAAAGGACAAGAAATTAGAGTACGATGAGATCGTGGTTAAAGTAGTTAGTGTCTAATTAAGTTCCTACACTTTTTGAAAATTAACAATCTATTAATATACTAGTATTTTACAGAGGGAAACGCAGAAAGTAACTTCGGATGAGCTGCAGAACGAGGTAATTTAATATACCTAATTTTTGAAACTGTAGTTGAGAATTGAAGACTTTAGTCACTCATCATGATTTCATAATTCAAGTAGTTTACAATAGTGCCTAATAAAAAGATTAAATAAGAATGTTCTCTATTGGTGGTAGTATTTTAACATTGCCTTAAAATTAAATAAAAGGAAAGAAAGGAAAAAAGAAGTTAGCTGCAGTGAAATAATATTTTAGCCAAAACTATGACTTTCACGAAGCTATTATTTTTAAGAAGTGATCATACATTACTAGAATCTTCAATTTCTGTCACAGTGTAGATTTTCTGCTATTCATAACGTCATCAGTGCATTATCAACGTTATACAAACCAAAAGACCAATTTTAAATAAAAACACTCATAACCTCTAATACCATAGCGCCATTTTGATGCGCCAGTGGCGTCCTCTAGCTTTTCCCTCATCGCCTCCGACTACACTCACAAAAAGAGTGAAACCGAACGAACCAAAAAAACTTAAACAGTAAATAATTTTCAGATGCAAAGATTGAGCACAGAACTAATCTCCGCAGCGAACAAACTGACCGAGTTGGAGAGTATCGTCGAGAAAGTACCAGCTTAATATTCCCGTGCCATAAAATGGCCACTAAATCCAAAGACACTCAGCAATTATCATTAAGCGGTAGTTGATTTTCAGTACAAATCGTGTGGGAAATCGTGCGAGAGTTCTGCGGACGACGTCGCTGATCGAAAAGCCTTGTTTGCGGAGAGCATCGAAGGAAGGACGAGCTCGCTCGAGGATCTCAAGGTGGGTTTCAATTAAGCAGAGCGAAATGTCAGGCTCCGAAATTTTCCCAACGACCTGCGATTGTCGCGAAAATCGAGCTTCGAGGAACCGGCGGTTTACCTCTTACTACCGGTTTCCGTTTGCTTGTAACAGCTTGGACCCGCGTTACAGCCGCAAACCGTGCAAACAGATTGTTCGTGAATTCTATTATAGAGTATTCGCGACTAGCAGGACGCAAAGTTGTTTCGTAGCTGTCTGCGAACGAAATTGAGGAAAACCATGGGATTCCGGTTAGTTAAGGCACATTCAGGGGCTGCTCGTTACAGGTACAGATAGTTCAGGTAACACGCGATGGAAGGGTTAATGTTCATGTCCAGATTACCGCGTATTATTCTTGGGATTATGTAATATTCATGGTCTGTTTGGATAATGGGATACGGTATTCCTTAATTGACGGTAATTTTGATGTGTGTAGTTTGCCTCGGATTGTTTGGTTATGGGGATTGATTGTCTTCTTGTTTCGTGAAACTGCGCTTCGGGAATATATTTACCAAATATTACTCTCTGCATCGTGAAAGTACGTTGTTTTGTAATAAATTTTATAACACCGCAGGATTGCATATACATGCGGTTTTACTTGTTCATTAATATATCAAGTTAATTGGTTCATAAAATTTCATTAAAACATGAAGTGAAATCAATGAGAGTGAAAATGCATAGTATTTTCTGGTAGCATAAAACACTTTTCCGTTGGAAACCAGTATAAATTTTATTTAATAATATCAGACGTTATTCTTCATTAATGTTATTGCTTTTGCAAAATTTTTAAGAACATTTTGCAATCATACATTATTTGTGGAGTGGTGAAGTACTTTTATCTTTCATGTGTCTAGGAAAAAATAATTCAATAAAATTAGGTTATGTAATATGGAAAGCTAACTGATGTCTGCATTTTATTTTTGTATGAAGATGAATTATGGTGCATATTGTTAACATGTGCTATATTGCATATTATTAATGTGTATACTGTTTATATGATATTAAATGTGTGTATTGTTCATATAGTATTAATGTATATATTGTTTATATGTCATTAGATGTGTGTACTGTTTATATAATATTAAATGTGTGTATTGTTTATATGTCATTAGATGTGTGTATTGTTTATATAATATCAAATGTGTGTATTGCTTATATATTATTAAATGTGTATATTTTTTATATAATATTAATGTGTATATTGTTTATATGATATTAGATGTGTATATTGTTTACATAATATTAAATGTATGTATTGTTTATATATTATTAAATGTGTGTATTGTTCATATATGAAATGTGTGTATGGTTTATATAATATTAAATGTATATATTGTTTATGTAATATTAAAGATTCTCGAGCCGTCCTTTCCACCGCCCTTGCCCCCGGAACCTCCGCCTAGGAAATATGGGATCTTTGTCACTAGACCTCCTGGGCAACGTCGTCCACCTTCCGTTGCAACTACACCCCCAAAACTCGGATTCAAGTAATTATGCATCGGTAGAAGCATCCTCAGAATCCTTTCATCGACGTGAGTAGCTTCCAATGAATTTTCAACATTAATAAAATATTATTTCATAACATTGATTCGTGCGAAAGCAACAATTGAATCTTCATAGATGATTAATTTATACGAAAAATGAATATAAAAATAATACATGGGAATATGACAATAATATCAAAATTATAATCCCAATAATACCACTACTGCTAAAATTATCACAATCTATAATTAGAAGCTTGAAATCCTGTCACATCTATTAAAAAAAATAACTAAAAATTTCTGAAAGTAACATCACTATATATTCACCTGAATATCAATCACACGCAATCACGATTAAGATCGTTAATTAACTTACAAAGTAGTAATTGATAACTTTGTATCTATGTACACTTGCAAATCGTGTTACTTGCTAATGCAAACGATCGTTTATCATGAATGATCGCCAGTGTCAAAAAAGAAGAAAGTAACTCGGCTCCTATCGCTTTCACCTTTCTCTACCGGCGATACAAGAGTAACAGGCACGATAAAGCGTTAATTAGATGTAGAATACGATTGTGGCTTTCTCAAACGAATTGTAATTTCAAGTGCAAGGCTATTAACGGTTTCAACATTGTGTAAAGGGAAGTTGTCGGATATTGTTGGAGAGATTTGTTACGATTTCAGCACGGAGCAGAGTTATTTGGAGCAGCGGTGATCGTCGACGCGATGACAGGAGAAGGAAACGACGCGGAAAACCTGCGGAAAACGAGATTGTAACACGTTGCAACGTCAGAAAATTGCACGCTGAAGCACTGAGGAACGTTACACCTTTCACTAAATCGCTGCTGGGTTTGGACACCATTTTCATTAAGTGAAATTTTAGTCCCCCTCTGTGTTTGTTGCAAATAAATTACAGCATTTCACCTTTGTTTGAGTTGCTTTTATTTACTGCTTCATTTGAGATTTGCAATTAAAGTAAATAACTATAGTTTCACCTACACATTATGTTGTATTCTTGTTAAACAGTGTTTAAAATAACTGTTTGATTTTTGTGAAATCTTTGAAAATTATATATGAAGCAATCAACTGCGAATACTTCGGTAACATAACCTAAAAGTTTAATTCTCTGTCACTATCTTTAGTTTCTCCTAAAACAATTTTAGCCTCCATAAATTTTTACTGGCGCAAATTACAATGCTTAAATATTTTTAATTAGCGTGATTTATACGCGGCCTCTTTCTTCACCTCGAAGATACATTTACATTTTACCCATCATAAGCATTTTTAATTTGAATAGAAAATCTTGATTATCTACATAACAATAATCGCTGAAATGCACGACTTTAATGACCGCGTTCACTAATTACAATACTTTATGCAACGATAGGAAAAATAACTCATAAATATCGTACTTCGCTTGTCAAGATTTTTATCAGCTACATTTAACGTCTCACTGCTGATCATAAAAGATGTGCATTTTAACACTCTACTTTTCATAGCGATTCAGATGCTTCAAGGTTCTTTATTCCGGAAAGCGACTTGGTTAATTTAAAAACTCTTCCATTCGCAAGCAACTATGAAAATTACTTACCTCTTATCTTTCTTGAAATCGTAAAATAAACTTGTGAACACTGAACAAAATTATTCACATTTTCCTGCAACACAAGCAGCTAAACTCTAAAATGGCGGACTACGGTTATCTTGTAACTCCACAAAAGTTTGTCAAAGTTGAAAATCAGTGGATAATATTGCTATTCTATCCCACAATATTACCTGTTTTAAACTGTAGCACAGTAAAATCAAAAGCAAATCTTGCTCGTGTACACAAGGCGAGGTGGAGTTTCAAGGCAAACGAGTAATTGCTCGATTAACCGAACCTGAAAGAATTTATGAAAGTGAAGCAGATGTATATGGGTTTCGAAGATTGTGCCTTGCTGGTCTGATCTGGACGTTCATATCACTGTCCTTGAGGAACTGGTTATCCTGGAAAAAGTTCCCTTTGTCCTACGCACAGGTGAAACAGGAATCTTTGCTTCTTTGAAGAAACGGAGGAAAATAATTGCTTTTGAAATTAAAATTGTTGCGTTTAAATTGATAATTGTTAGATGGATACTTGTTAGAATGGATTGATATTTGTTGCACTTGCTGACTCTGTTAAATTTTGTTCAATTTCGGGCAAGTAAGATCTGTATACCAATTTTGAATAGATTATGTACTAGTGTGTTATATATACGATATAGTTATTTTTATGCGCGATAAGTATAATCATATTATTTAGGTAAGTATAAGTAAAATATCATTAAGCTCACATTAGTGGAGTGGTATGAAGTGATATTAGTGATATAACACTAATGGAATATTTTATAATAAACACACTCGAGTGCAGTGGGTTGACAATTTTTAACTGACTGTGAGAATGAGGGGAAGTATCTCGTCATTTGATTTTGGTAGCATTTAGGGGGGTTCTAGAGAAGTTCTAAGGACTAGAGGGAGTTTAGGGGAACCGTAGGAAAATCATAGGGAGGACCAGGAGAGTTTAGGATGGACAGAAGATGGATAGAGGAATATAGGGAGGACCTAGAAAGAGGACCTTAGATTCGATCAAAAACCTAAATAGCACTTAAAGAGAATCTGAGAGAGTCTATGTGTACCATAGAGTGATCTGAAGATCATGGGTTTGTTAGGGAAAATAAGAGATTCTAAGAGAAAGTCAGAGCGAACTTAGTACATGTGGAGAGTTTAGAAAGAATCTAGGGAAAGGAGAAAAATTAATTGCAATCTGAACTATAGAGCGAACCTAGGACCTATGGTAGCTTCAGCAAAGCAAATCCAAATGTAATTTACATATTTCTACTACCTGGTAACATACACCTCCTAGAACCTGATATAACCTAGACACTCCCAGAACCTGATATAACCTAGCCACCCTCAGAACCTGAAATAACCTAGACACTCCAAGAACCTGCTTTAGCCTAGTCACTCTCAGTACCTGAATTAACATAGACACTCGTGCATTCCTAATATAACCTAGCCACTCCCAGAATCTGATATAACCTAGACACTCCAAGAACCTGCTTTAGCCTAGTCACTCTCAGTACCTGAATTAACATAGACACTCGTACATTCCTAATATAACCTAGCCACTCCCAGAATCTGATATAACATAGACACTCCTACAACCTAATAAAACCTAGCCACTCCCAGAGTCTGATATAACCTAGACACTCTAAGAACCAGATATAACCTAGTCACTCCCAGAACCTGATATAACCTAGACACTCCAAGAACCAGATATAGCCTAGTCACTCCCAGAACCTGATATAACCTAGACACTCCTAGAACTTGATACAACCTGACGCTCCTAGAACCCAAGATAACCTGACACTCCTAGAACCTAAGATAAGCTATAAATTATGAACACTTATTTGAAACAATGAGATCGTGTATGAGGCCACGCTGCATTCCAGGTCAATGGGTTAAAGAATTTGATAGGTCCTTAATCAATTTCATTGCCAGCATTATGAAGCAATGCTTCTTACTCTGAAAGGCATCGATTGCGCGAGGCGACGTGATCAGGCGCCACGTATTTTTAATCGAGACGAACCTTTGAAGGAAAATTCAGAACACCCCGGAGAAAAGAATGCCAGAGAACGAATGACAAATGCACTATTTTTAGAAGTTTTATGATCATATGTTAATAACAAGCTTTTTCTTGTTTTTATACCCGCACCGATTTATAATCTTGAGACATACTCTATTTTATGTTCAGCTTTCATATTTTTGTGAAATAAATATTAACTTTTCGTAAAATATTAAAACGATATGCACGTCATCTATAAAATATTATTTTTTTAAGTTATATATTACTGTCATAAACCGGTCCACTTTAAATCGCAGAAATTTACGACTTCACATGTGAAAATCGAAAGCGTCATATATGTGTCAACTTCTTTGCTGTAAATTTTATATATCACATCTTTATCTTTATGCGACATGTTCGCGTGTCTTGTATTTCATACAAATATTCGTGGCCTAATCGGTTTTGCGATAAATTAGTTGCTTTCCAAACTAGATACAGTTTCTCGCGACAAAAGAGCCTTTTCCACGCGGATTTTTTTCCCGCGCACCGGTTCTCGAGCGGCCGGTGAACAAACAAGGCACACCACAAGATCGAGCGATCGAATCGCAGCGAGTTGCGGGCGACTGTCCAACTTTCACTGACAACTCGTTAGCTTCGCCGCCGTGGTTTCGAATCATTCACAGTCATTCCGCGACGTCGGTAGACCGCGGCAGCGTTGTTCAATTCCTCCGTCTGCCGCAATATTTCGATCGATCGAATCCAATTTTTTTAAAAGAATCATAACGAAACCCTACAAAAAAAGTGTCCGATAAACTCCCACCCGATCGTGCAACAGTTCCTGTAATTTTTTACTCTTCCGTTGTGCCGGTGTCAGTGATCAAATTTTAAAAAGTGAAATAAAATAGAAGGTGCGTGAATCAGAAATAGTGGAAGAGGCTTGTGTTTTCTATGTTTTATAAAGAATATATTCAAAAATTGATCAGAGTTTTTCGGAACGTGGGGTAACAGAAGCGGATTGAAGAAAGTAGAAGTGAACAGAGAGCGAAAGTTCCGCTGTAACGTCTCTTCTGGTTGAAAGTCAACGCACTTTGCCAGCTACATCGTGTATCGTCGATGCTTCTCACTAGTATGTATTGTCTTAACGCATTTGCTCCTTGAAAATTGGGACGTTACACGATGACTGTTACGTAACCTTTAGTGTCTTTGTGAAATCCTTTGACTAGGATCGAGGCTGGGAGTTATGGCAATTAACGGTGCCTTTGGTTCCTCGTAAATTGATGGATTTATCGATTGCGATAGACATTCAAGTCATAGTCACATTTGGATGAGTAGAGATTTAATTAACTTTGCAGCAGTTGAAATACAATGTATTTCTTATAGATTACGTCTTGTAGATTACATTTAATTTTATGTAGAATTTAATTTCTTTTCTTGTAGAAAAAATTAGAATTTATATTTCTTTGTTATTAGTCAGCTTCAAAAGACTGTTAAAATTTTGTTTAATTATATTTTTTAATATTTTAAATGCACAATGTGTGGTATAAAATTATTTGTACATGTTTCTGAGAGTACCACACACCCAAAGAATTGCTGCAACAGTTTCTCACGCCCTTCCTAAACCTTCTGAAGTTATTACGACCCCGGCAAACTACAAAGCTGCATGATTTACTTCAGCAGCACTATTCTTTACCTTCTAAAGTTCAACAGACTCTCACCAGACTAACTTGGACCGGCATTGCGATATTCACCAAACAACTGACGTTCTTGGACAATACTTATTATAGTAGTATTTAGTATTATTTATTATAGTTTACAGAGAAATCTGCGATTGGACCAAAAAATATTGTGTATACAAATTTCAGTATTAACACGTTCGCTACCAGATTTAGAGGTTCATGTTACAAGCATGTAATTCGAACCTCTTTTGTTATAGAATAATATTGTTACTTGATACGTGTCATGAAAATACACTTGAAGGAGTATTTTTGCAACAAACCACTTTTGGTAAGATGGCGGCTTTTAGAGATATGAAAAAAAATGTTGGAACATAATGAATTATACACAATTCATATATTCTGGCAATATAATATAAAACACAAATTATTAAAATATTATAATATAAAATATGTACATGTTTCACTCACTGACAAAATGAAGAAACTTTTGAGACAACTTTATAGTAAAAATTAACAAGGTTTATATTTAATATATTTGTAAAGATATTAATTTTAAAAAATAGCACCAAGCAGCCACATGATAAACTAACATTGTAATTCTTGATCAATAAAAATGGGATTTATGGAGCCAGTACAAACTTCAAGCAAAAATTAAATGCATCTATTAGTTAACAAATTACTACAGAGTCAGACTAACTCCATAATATAAATCCACTTGTGTTATTTAAAAAAGATAACAAAACACATCTCGCGATAGAAATTCATTAAACAGAAAAAGAATTTTGAAGAATCTGAAACAGCAGAATTAAATTTGGGTTCCAACATATTACTTATCAATATATTACATAAAAAAACGTATTACGTATCAATATAATGTATACAAAAATATATTTAGTTATCGCTATAATGCATAAACAACGTATTACTTATCAACACAACGCATAAGAAACATATTACCTATCAGTATAATTTCAGTTATACATAAAAAACATATAACTTGTCAGGATAATACATAAAAAACTTATAACATGACAGTGTAACATATAAAAAATTTATAACATGTCAGTGTAATAAACAAAAAACATATAACTTGTCAATATAATAAAAAGCATTGTCAGTACAAAAAACACATTACTTATTAATACAATGCAAAAAATATTACTCATCAACATATAAAAAGAAAATACATCACTGATGTTTATGTTCTGAAGATCTTTTCAAAAAACATTAGCGATCATCTTCCAAATCCGGTTATCAGGTCACTGTTAGCGAACGTGTTAATGGATTAAGTCGAAATCATTTGACGTTATTTGACCATGACACGGCACTTCCGTTGACCTTGGCTCAGCCACGCATCGTGTAGTAGGTATAGCAGTGTGGTCGAGGACGAAAGTTGAAAAGGATCAGTTGTCCCTAAATCGGCCAGGAGGTCGCAGTGAATCGAGGATCATCGATCACAATCAAGTTCCAAGGACACCATGGTCATGGACACGAGCACCGTTCGCCTAGTGATATTCCTAGGGATGTTCCTGATATTCGCCGGTGACTACAGCTACCTGGTCAGCACGATTTTCGGCAAGACCGGGGAACAAAACGTCACGCAGATCAAGGGTCCTGCAGCTCCACACTCTGACGAGAGGATATCCTTGAAGAAGAACGACGAGAAAGAGAACGGTAAGAAAAACAACTCGGATTATATCGATCACGGAATATTACGAAACGATTACATGATGGCTTTGATTAACTGTGATTTACCGATCGATCGTTAACGATTCCATCATTTACTACTGTCGTAAAATCGCCTTTTTACTGTCGTTTACGTGAAGAATTAAGAATGTGACGCACGAATTCCGTGTGTGTCAAACAATTATGTTTGACGGAAATCGCAGAAACGTATGCAACCGAAACTGGCACAGATTTCAAAACAAGTATTACTTAATCCGTTGAATAAACGACGACGCTATATTTATTCGACGAATGGTCGTATGTAGATGAGCTTTGCGAATATATTTGCATCTGCGATAAAATTATATTTAAGTTTCATGTAAACTATTGTTAAGTTTAACTAAATTATCAAGATTAAAGTAATTAACAAGATTTATGTAACTGTTTCATTATAATATCGGAGGTGTACGATCAGTTTAAGAAAATCAGCTAATGGGTTTGCAAAACTTCCTCATTTCAGAGTGCTTTTACATTGCAAATAAACGTATAATTGTATTATAATTAACTCGAGGAAATCGTGTTTACTAGTATATTACTCTTAACGTCCGATGTACTTAAATGGAACTTTAGACTACTCCACCTAAACGATGTTTGTTTCCTCCATGACGCAGTAGTATTACGGCCTCCATGATCGGAAGTAAACGTAAAGGTTACGAGTAAAGAACCGTGTTGACATAATAGAATAACGAATGTAAAGCAAGAGGTATCAACCCACGAGTTGGCTTGCGATGCAAAGTAAAAGCTCCCCACCGTGAAGATTTTCAGTTACATTTTGGCATTTGGTTACATAATGACAATAACAAGTTCATCATGAAATTCACACTATCTCTCTTGAGACATTTGTTGACTGTCATTATTTCTGGCCTCATTGTGTGACCACTCAAGCTAATATATCCATCTAATCATATATCCGAGCCTATATATCGTCTAAAATACGTGCGAGTCCATTTTTCTATTCTGACCAATCACAGCCGTAGCTCTACTAAACACCTGGGTTCATGCGCCAACTCGTGAATTGACATCAGTACCCGTTTTGCAAAGGCAAATTTATGCAGCGCTCGTAAACACTGCCATTATGCAATTACCGAACTGCCGATTGCCGCAATCTTGACCATCAAATATTTGACACCTACCAATAGCCCAAGGCCCACTGAATCAACGTGTTTCGCTCCAATTATATGATAATAATGATCCTAGTACAACATAACCTAGATCGATTAGATCTCAGAAAATATTTAGTAAATGAGTTTCAAAAATGTGGATCGACCTAATCTTTTAGATGCCACGTATTTTACATGTGCACGCTGATTGTTGCTGTAGTCGTATTTTCAGATTAGCAACCAGGTTTCACCGGACGGACATAAATTTAATATTGCATAGTCTTAGCTGCGATTATCTTATCTCTTGCGAAATACGTTTTTTCATATTTTAGAGATTGAGACTCATTCGGAAGTAGATCAAGTGTTCTGGGAGATTTGTGCGGCAATGTTGCATTGAAGATTCTTGGAGATATGTGTTCAAATGTTCTTATTTAGAGGCGGAGAAAGTTGCTAATTTGAAAGTTTGAAGATTTATGGATTTCGAAACTTTCTGGTTGGGGAAATAGTAATTTTGGAATGTTGCAAATTTTTGGAATTTGATGATTTGGAAATTTATGTGGGGAGGATGAAATTTGAGTGTAGGGATTTGAAGAGTTAGGAATTTGAAGATGTGGAAAACTGAGAACGTGGAAATTTGGGATATAGAAATTGGGGAATGTAGATGGTTGAAAATTTAGAAATTTGGGATATGGAAATTTGGCGATATGGAAGTTTGAAAATTTAGAAATTTAGGGACGTGGAAATTTGGGGATGTGGAAGTTTGGAAATTTAGAAATTTGGGATATGGAAATTTGAAGATGTGGAAATTTGGAAATTTAGAAATTTGGGATATAGAAATTGGGGGATGTAGTAGTTTGGACCTGTAGAAATTTGGGGTATGGAAATTTGGGGACATTGAAATTTGGGAATGCAGAAGTTTCAAGACGTACAACTTTGTGGATATAGAAACTCGAAGATGTAGAACTTCGGGTACATAGAAACTTGAAACCACAGATATATATAGATACAAAACCTTGAAATTTCACAAACCTCAAAACAAAAACTTAAAACCTTAAAAATCCGAAAAACCACTCATTCAAAAATCCAAAAATTTCATAAATTCCATAACTTTGATCTCCAAAAATATCTCCCTGAGTCTCTAACTATATCCACAACATCACCACGCAAATCCACAATAATCTAAAACTATAGCAATTAATTAGCAACAAAGTTCAGAATCCCATTATCAACGAATACAAAATAAGGCAGAAGAAATTCACACACGGTCGGCTGAAGATGAATCGTGTAATTAAGTAAATCAGATTGTTTCAGGCTATAATTTTCTTTGCGCAATTAAAATAAACGATCCCATCGACAGCCTATTAAAGCCTTAATTAAATTAATGTTACAATGTAACTTCGTGTCACGCAACATAAAATCGAAGATTCACGATTACTTTTCAGGTATCTCAAGACGTGCTAGGATGATGACCACGATAAAGACTGCTTGCTTGCCGAAGTTGATTTGCGAACTGACCTCGTCCGTTCATCAGGATCAGCTTAGTGAGATGGAACGGTCCTTGTTGAACTTGATCAGGTAAATAAGTTGCACTTTTGTGGTTGCATATTTCTAGTATGAGTGAATAGAACTGGGGTATTTAGATGGATTATTGATATGTTGATTGGAATAGAGGAATCTTTGATATGGTAGATTTTTTGTTATTTTGTAGGTAGTAGATTTAGGGATAATTTTAGTAGTGGTGCATTGAGATTTGGGATATGGAAATTTGGAGATGTGGAAATTTGCAAATTTAGAAATTTGTTATATGGGAATTTGGGCATATTGGAAATTTGGGGATGTGGAAGTTTGGGGATATCGAATATGGAAATTTAGAAATTTGGGGATGAGGAAGATTGGGATATGGAAATTTGGAAATTTAGAAATTTGGGGACATTGAAATTTGGAAATTTAGAAATTTGGGGACATTGAAATTTGGAAATTTAGAAATTTGGGGACATTGAAATTTGGAAATTTAGAAATTTGGGGACATTGAAATTTGGAAATTTAGAAATTTGGGGACATTGAAATTTGGAAATTTAGAAATTTGGGGACATTGAAATTTGGAAATTTAGAAATTTTGGAAATTTAGAACTTTGGGGGCATTGAAATATGGAGATGTGGAAGTTTGGGATATGGAAATTTGGAAATTTAGAAATTTGGGGACATTGAAATTTGGAAATTTAGAAATTTGGGGATGTGGAAGATTGGGATATGGAAATTTGGGGATGTGGAATTTGGAAATTTAGAAATTTGAAGATGTGGAAATTTGGGATATGGAAATTTGGGAACATGAAAGCTTGAAAAGCTTGAAAAGCTTTATAAAAGCTTTATAAAAGCTTGAAAATTTAGAAATTCGCGATATAAAAATTAAAGGATATAGAAAGCCCAACAAAGTGTGTGAATATCTGTATTGTACTATCAAACATATTCCTCCATTTCAAAATTACTATCTCTAGATCCCTGCACTTCTGTAGTCCCATACTTGTTCAAAGCTAAAATTTGAAACTAAATCTATCACATAACACAAATGCACCCATCCACATTGAACTTAATACAAAATAATATAAAATCCATTCGTCCAAAGTTTATAGTCGACCAAAGATCCTTAGGAAGATTAGTTTCAACAAAAACAGCAATTACCAAGTTTTATTCGGTGAAAGAGACGAAATAGACCGTGGCGAGGAAATAGCAATTACACCATAGAAACGTTTACGAGCGTAACCATCAATGCCTTCTGAAGTCGAGGATGATTTAGTGATTTTGTAGCTTAACGTAGAAATTTTACGGCTACTCGCATCCACTTTCATTGCTCGACTTCTAGACCGCCACTTTCACTTTCCACTTTCGTTTGTCATTCCTAGACGAAGCAGCCGCACGTAATCGCTCATGAGTTGCTTTTCGAAAGGTCATCGTGATGATGTAGGAAATAGTTGTGTAATAGTCGTTGGACTGATGGGAGCTATTCCTTAATCGAATTTTTGTTGGGATATCTTGATGCGTTGTGGAGAAATAACCTCAAATGCGCGGAGCAAATATATAATATTTACTCTGCATTTTAATTTTGTTTTTGGTTCATGGAGTAATGTATGAGTGCTGAGGTTGCTTGTTTTTATTAGTTGGCTGCATATTGATATAATGAATGACAAATTGAAGCGGAATGTTTCCAAGGTCTCAAGATTTTGAAGTTATATACTTCGTTCAAATTGTTCAGACTTTTTCAAACTATCAGACTCTCAGATTCTCAAACTCTTAAACTCTCAAACTCTCAAATTCTAAAACTCTCAGATCTTCAAACTCTCAAACTTTTGAAGCCACGAAGTTCTGTAGTTTCAGAGTTCTATAGTTTCCTAATCCCAAACTTCAAGTATTCAAATCTCCCATAGTCTTAAACTCACAGAATTCCAAATTTCAGATATTCCAAACTCTTAAATCCCAAACTTCAAATATTCCAAGCTCGCAAAATAACAAACTTTAAATATACCAAACTCGCAAAATCCCAAGTTTCAGATATTCCAAGCACGTAAACCCCAAGCTTCCAAACTCGCAAAATCGCAAAACTCCACATATTGAAATTCCCAAGCCGCCGAAATCCCAAATCCGGGTCCCAAAAACGGAGTGTAAAATTCAATAAATATTTCAAACACCGTACTCGATACGAGAAAAGAGCAGCGTCCATCAATCCATCCAGCCCTCCCATCGATCGAGAATTAAACGGTAGCTCGTCGGATTACCTTTCAATCTCCAGATTACAGCCGTGGAACGCTGGCCGGAAGCTGTTCGATCCTCGCTTCCGGCCAGAGCTAGGCATCGATCGTAGCGCGATTCCGCGCGGAATAACAAGCGCCTGACCCGGACAAACAAACGTCCCATCCCGTATAACGTCCGTTCGATATCTCCCTAAACAGATCCGGATGCCGGGCGTCGATATCGAGCGGGCAGACTTTCGGCGTCGCGCGTCGAATCGCGCCTCATCGAAAATTGGATGGCGCTAAGCGGCGCGTGTTTCGCAATTTTCCCGTCGATCACCGCGCGAAACGTCGATTGCACGCGTTACGCGTTCACGCGTCGCAGAAACGAAGCGTCGCGACGCCTGGCCTGAATTGAATGGCGCGATCGCGGTATCTCGCAATTTTCGTTTACGATCAAAAGGCGAAACGAAACGTTGCCTCGCCGTCGCATTATTTGGATAATGCCCGGCTATGAGCGCGCGCATCTCCCCGGCCATTTTGTTCGTTGATTAAAAGCGAAGTTATGTTCGACCGGCCAAATATTGACTTGGTTCGATGCCACGCTCGAATCGGTCTGTTTGCCGCACGCTGAAATCTCTGCTACGCGTATCTGTGCCTCATTCGCATTTTTTCACGCCTCGTTCTCTTTCGTTGCGAGTTAATTGAATCGAAATCGTTTCGCGCCATTTTGCTTAATGGACGCTACTGGAAATGATATTTTTTTATCGAAGTTCGGATACAATTTTTTTAAGTCTCTTTATGTATTCTGTAAGACTATATGTCATTTTTTAGTGTATTATGTATTATATTTATTTTTTTAATGTAAGTTTTGTAACACATAAAATGACATATTCGTTAGTAGGTTATGTGTTACATATCCGTTCTTGTATTACATATTAAGCCTAATGTATGAGGTATAATTTTTATTATATTTTTATTAGTTGTATTATATTAATTCTTTTAATATAGATCATGTATCACTTCCTTATATATTTCATATCATGTCCGTTGTTATATCATTATGTCTAATGTATGACGTATTATTTCAAGTTGTAATATATTGTGCATCATGTTATTCTTCTATAACATAAATTATTTGCATGTTACATATATATGTATACATATTTTTTTTTATATTTACTCATACGAGTAGTCTTTTGCAATAATGTAGATATTTAGTTCAAACACAGTATATCCCTATAAACCAATTTAAATAAGTTAAACTTAATTGATAAAAAAATACTACTTCAATAAAAAACAATGTTAAACATATCCTAACCTAATTACATCCACATGAGAAACAATGAGAAAAATTGTGTTGAGAAAATCCCCATCCGCCATCTTGTGTACTTGCACCCATCACATAATGCAAAGTCAACCAAACTCCGTCACATAACAGTTTGTATTTTAAACAATTTCCAGTTGCAAATGTCTCTTTGCCCAGACGCGCGAAAACTTTCGAAATTTCTTTACATATTTCAATAAGGAAGAAAGTGCAGTCCCGACCGGTTAAGGCTACCGGAAATTTCGAGTTTATCCAATATTTTCGGCGAATAAAGAATGACTTGTACGAGCAAAAGGTCGAAGTACAGCGTGAAAGTTTTTCGGTTCTTACGTAAGCAGCCACTCCGAAACCGGAACATGCGCCGCCATAACAATCCGCCACTTTCCTTTTCACGAGTTACACAATCTTCCGACTTTCTACGGCGCCCGAAGCTTGAACTTCACGTTTTTATATTCTTGAATTCACTTGTAGACCTTCAGATTTTACTATAGAAGGTCGTCGAAGTCAACTATTATTTAAATATAATTGATATCTAATTTTAGATTCTGAAATTTTCATGATTAAAATTATGATCTTATTTTAGAAAATTCTCTACTATGAGTGATTTAGATTTGACTATAGAAGATCATCAAAGTCAACTATTATTTAGATACAATTCATATATAATTTTAGATTCTGCAATTTCCTTGATTGAAATTGCAATTTTATTTCAAAAAAATTCTCCACAATGGATGATTCAGATTTGACTATAGAAGATCACCGAAGTCAACTAATATTTAGGTATAGTTCACATCTAATTCTAGATTCTGCAATTTCCATATTCGAAAATACGATCCTATTTCAGAAAATTCTCCACAATGGCTGATTCAAATTTACGATTAAATTTCCATTGATGCAGAAATTTAATATTGGGATTGAATTTCGGATACGAAGAGAATTTCTGCGAAAATAGCTTACTATTATAATGTACGCTGATATTTGTTTGATTTACAGAGATTGTGCTGCTATTGTTGATAGCCGTACAAAGATGCGGTAATTAATTATGATATAATCGTACGCATATGAGAATTTCCCCGACAAATTTTCTCTTCGGCTTCGGTTTTATGGTACATAAATGATTTAAAACGACAGCTCTACTTTAACGATTAATACGCGGCTTCCTGGCCGCAGAGCTTCCGTTCATTTCGCGAAATTATACTCGACTCTACCTCTTTTCCGGTTGAAAAGGTGAATTTCGTTCTGACCGTATGCCGTTTAATTGACAGCAATTAAACGACCTGTTCCTCGTCAATTTCTTTCTCTTTTGCGCAATTCATTAACGGATTAATTGGTCCATCAAAAACTCGCTGTTTCAGACCGCCGAGTGGAATTTAATAACACATAAACACTGTTATTAAAATTATTCTTCCATTAAAGATTTATATTACTCGGTAACTGATTTTTTAGGGAATTTTCTCAGTCATGTTATTTCATTTTATATTAGTCAAATTATTTGAAAAATTGTAGGATTTCTTTCAAATAGAAAAATGTGTGCAACGTAAGAAAATAATTTATTGCATTTTTAGTTGTTTTGGGTGAACAAATATTTTAAGGAATGCTATTAACAAATTTCACATAAAACATATGATGCATTGTAGAATTGTAGAAGAATATTTTTTTCAAATAGAAAAAATATGTGCAACGTAAGAAAATTTAATTGTATTTTTAGTTGTTTTGGGTGGACAAATATTTTAAGGAATGCTATTAACAAATTTCACATAAAACATCATATGATGCATTTACATAAATAATTTAGTCAATGATGAAGGAATTAATAAACAACAAATGTTTAAATTTTTACATTGATAAATTATCATATTTAAAAATAGTTAAATTTATAAATGGTCAAATTTATAAATTTGCAATTAGAAAATTAAAATTTAAGAATTTTAAAGTTAAAGTCACTGAATATCAAAATACTAGAATATTAAGAAATATGATATCGTTTCAGATTAACATATCTGTCCAAGTGGAAATAGTCATAGTAAAACATAATTAAAGGCAGATAAGAGTAAAGAGTCAGTTGAATAATTTTATGAAAGAGGCCTACCATTAATCCACAATATCCTTCATCTCGTATTAGCAAAATCAATTATCTACTACCAATCTACCAATCAGACGAAGAATCCACCGAACCCCAAAGATAAAACAAAGCTAAAATAGTCCGAGCCGAAAAAAGGAGAAAGGAGGCAAACAACGAGCAATGATGTCACGATGGATCGTCACGGTTAATGTCCCGGAAGGATTCGAGCTTTATATTTACTTTTATGCGTGCGTAAACGCCGCTCCCGGCTTCGAGTAAGCCCGATTTTTATTAGATCGCGGATCGCTGTGGGTTAAACCGATCAAGATGGAAAAGCTAAGAAGCCGTTTTGCGTTTGCTCGTTATACCGCCTTGAAGAGCGAGAGCCCGAGGCGCATAGACGATCGTAAACGACCAAACAGGGAAGAGTTCCCTTTTGCGGCTGAAACGACGACGTCTTCCTCGGGAGCCATGCGTGACGAAACTGCTTCTTACGACGCGTCCTTCTTCCTGTTGCCTACCATCTTCCCGAAGGATCCTTTATTTCCGCTGCCGCGGTGCCTTCCTTTATAGAATCTGTGGCCACGGATATTGCTGATCGTCAATTTTTTCTATACTCTTCGCAACTTTGCCAGGTTCAATCATCTCTTCTATCTTCATATCGTACCGATATCTTCATGGCGTGCTGAGTTTTAACGATCCATATAATGTTCTTTCCAATTTTTATGTGCATATTATCTAATGCATAAACGTGTTTAAAATATTCTCACGTGATGGGTCAGATGAGTCAGAAATGTAGAGCAATATTTTTCATTTATTCATATGACATTTTCGTATTTTTGAATTTTTTTTTTAATGGATAACATGGTTTTGAAATAACGTTTTGGATAACATAGTAGTGAAAACAATTTTTGCCATTATTACCTTCTGTGATTTTGGCATTATGCAAACATAACCTCAACGAGGAGCGACAGCAAAATGGAGGAACCGCTGTGGATAAACTATAGAGAGCCTAGGTCTAAATTGTTTGATCTACTTCAGGTTCCATCTCGTTAAAACAAAAATTCTTTGCTAATCAAATAGCTAAGTGTTTGCTAGATTATCTGATATAAAATTGCTAGTAATATAATTGAATACTTTTAATGTATTTTATGCAATTATATGTATTTAATATATTTAACGTATTTACTATAAAATGAAGCTACTTGATGCCCTTGCAGTCATTTAATACATTTATTGTAAAATGAAGCTACTTGATGTTTTTGCAGCAGTTTTATATATTTATCGTAAAATGAAGCTATTTAATTCCTTTGCAGGTATTTATATTTACTGGAAAAAGCGATCTAATGTATTTATTGTAAAACGCAAAATATTTAAGTCCACAGTCAAATAAGTGCAGAGTCAAATCAGTATGCAGTCAAATAAGTGCAGAGTCAAATCAGTATGCAGTCAAATGAGTTCACATGTAGTCAAAGTATCAGCAAAGTAGAAAAGCAAAGAAAGTCCAAATAGCTGAAAGTGTGAAGGAGTAGTAACCGGAAGGAAGTTTCGATTTTTCCGTGGTTATTGCGGACGTGGAGATACATGTTGCAGTAGAGAAAGGCGAGCGTGTAATTTTCAGTGGGTTTTGTCGAGCGTAACCGGATTCCGTGTCTCGTGTTTACCGGCTGCCGTCGATATCGAAAGTAAAAGGCGACTTGCCTTGTGCCTGTTCTTATATGTCGTACTCCCGACCAGTTTATCATGGTCAAACGTTGGGAAAGTAGAGTTGATTTCGTGCCACCCATTGGCGTCGATTCTTTTCGTACGTTTCGAAACCACTTTATAGTCATTGCGAAAGGTGTTTAAAAAACTGACATTTATTTTGTATTATTATTCTTGCAATTTCTGTTTTACATTTTCTTTAGATTTTTATCTATTTTTAAGTTCATGAATGTACAGCTATTTGTGAATTTTGTTATTTGCAGTTGTGTATGGAACTGCGATTTTGTACGAGATTAGATGGTTATGAAATAACCAATGTAAACTTGAAATTATTTATAAATTTATAAACTTGAAATTATTTATGGAATTTACGAACTTGAAATATTTATAAATTTTTAAACTTGCAACTATTTATAAATTTTTAAACTTGCAACTATTTATAAATTTTTAAACTTGCAACTATTTATAAATTTTTAAACTTGCAACTATTGTAAATTTATAAACTTGAAATTATTTATACATTTATAAACTTGCAACTATTTATAAATTTTTAAACTTGCAACTATTTATAAATTTATGGACTTGAAACTATTTAAAAATTTGTGAACTAAAGTAAATCTATGTACCAGTGTAACTGCACAAAATAAATCGTCAGTATTTACGAATTGTTGAAACAGAAATTTTCAAAAAAATTACAAATAAAAATTGTCAAAGTTATAAATTCTACAGAATATGTGACAATCAAGTTATCAAAGTCTCCATCTGAAAATTATAAATCATTAACCAAATATTAAATATTGAATAACCACACAATATATAATATTGTCAATCAATAATAATTAATAACCTTGTAAGCAAATATATTTGTCCACGCACTTTTAAAGCCTCTGATTTCAATGCGAGTTTGATTACTACTACATAATTTGATTAACACGTGATACCGCGTAATTTGATTAATTGGCAGCTGAAATCAACGTTTCGGCTTGCAATTAATTAAATGATATAGCAGAACCATTTGTTTATCTCTTTCTACAAAATGCATTTCAAACATGATTAAAAACAAACACATATTTCATCCCGTGAAACGAGAGCTGTTTATTCGTTTAGCGATTATATTCGATCAATTCGCTTACTTTGTACTTTCTCATCGTATGAAATATAATATTTAATTGTCAAACAATTTTCTGCTAATGTATTTTGTCAACAGAAGTAAAATAAGGTTAGGTTAGGAAATAAAGAAATAAGGTTAGGTTAGGTTATTAGAATAATAAGATTAGGTTAGGTTATTAGAATAATAAGGTTAGGTTAGGTAAGGTTATTAGAATAATAAGCTTAGGTTAGGTAAGGTTATTAGAATAATAAGGTTAGGCTAGGTGGGGTTATTAGAATAATAAGGTTAGGTTAGGTAAGGTTATTAGAATAATAAGGTTAGGCTAGGTAAGGTTATTAGAATAATAAGGTTAGGCTAGGTAAGGTTATTAGAATAATAAGGTTAGGCTAGGTAAGGTTATTAGAATAATAAGGTTAGGCTAGGTAAGGTTATTAGAATAATAAGGTTAGGCTAGGTAAGGTTATTAGAATAATAAGGTTAGGCTAGGTAAGGTTATTAGAATAATAAGGTTAGGCTAGGTAAGGTTATTAGAATAATAAGGTTAGGCTAGGTAAGGTTATTAGAATAATAAGGTTAGGCTAGGTAAGGTTATTAGAATAATAAGGTTAGGCTAGGTAAGGTTATTAGAATAATAAGGTTAGGCTAGGTGGGGTTATTAGAATAATAAGGTTAGGTTAGGTAAGGTTATTAGAATAATAAGGTTAGGTTAGGTAAGGTTATTAGAATAATAGGGTTAGGCTAGGTAAGGTTATTAGAATAATAAGGTTGGATTAGGTAAGGTTATTAGAATAACAAGGTTAGGTTAGGTAAGATTATTAGAATAATAAGATTAGAATAATATTAGTTGTTGATTCTAAAGTTAAAATAATATTAATTATTGATTGTAATGTTTAAATAATATTAATTATTAATTCTAAGGTTAGAATAATATTAGTTTGGGCTAATGACCATGGCAGTCGATGCCCATAACATTAATCATCAATAATATTAGTTATTGATTCTAAGGTAAAAATAATATTAATAATTGATTCTAAGGTCAAAATAATACTAATGTGGGTAAAGAGACTAATCGATATTGATAAAAACGTTTCAGGGACACAAGTTTGAACACAATGGCGGAAGTGCCCTCGAGGTACCACTTCGCAGCTCATATGGGTCAACTGATATCCGGTCTGGAAGGTCAGGGATGCCATAATTTCTATCCCACCTGCCCACTGCCCGGATCCAGCGTTCTGAACATGATGAAGAAGATTCGATTGCGCTGACAGGACGAAATCCTCGTCGACGACAGAAAAACACGACGACAAAGCCTGTGATATTGCAGACGATTCTTTCCTCTTCCAACTTCCACGTTCCAGGATTTTCATTTTATCGAATCTGCAAAATTTCTTCGTGGAAGCGTTCTTTGCGAGGAGACAAGATGGTCGTTTCCTGAGAAAGGGACCATTTCAAATACGTTTGAGATTTTTGTATCTGACCACAGCAAGCTGGGTCAAGTTATCGATATAAGATTAATCAACGTTAAGGGAATCGAATAGTATTTAAGCTCCTGTCATTACGGGACACAAATTCACTTTGATCATTTATTTATGAAACATCTTTTTAATCATTTTTGAAACTCGGTACCATGTATCCTTATTCCGGAGGTCTTCTGGAAATAAAACTCGAATAAATATTTGTATTTCAACAATCTGTCATTTGTTACCAAATCATTCAAAGCATGAAATCATCCTACTTATGCTATAACAATATGCAACAATTGTGCAAAGTATTCTGCAGTCAATATTCCAAAAAATAAATTATAATTATAATTACTTGGACAACAGAAGACGATGCAAATTATTATGTATACAGTAGTCGTTATATTTAGAATAAAGAATATCTAAAAAATAAAACTGACAATTCCTGAATATCCATTTTGAATGGAATAGTTTCAACCCAGAAAGAGTAATTTCTAAATAATAAATTGTTTGTAAAACAGCAAACAGACCTCGTTATCCCTCTGTATATTACACTTTTCTCGACGATTCTTTTTCTTCGACCATGTAGCATAATGGTTTCGAATAGAGGCCCGCTAATTCGCCGGCAATTACCGGGATATTTTCTGCGTCCTCGAGATTCGTTGTTAATAGCCGTTCCAGCGGCGACGCTCGAACTGATTTCAACAAGAACAGCCCTTATTTACCACCGGTGTATATAATATTTAGCGAGAGCGTTATAAAGGTGCACAAAGGAGACCAGACGCGGCCGAGCTAATGGCCCTTTCGCTCGAGCCAGCTTCTTGTAATTATTTCGCGCAGCCACCAACGAAAAGGGACGTCTAATTTGTGCGATACCAATTTATCCTTTCCCCAAGTCGCTCGTTATCGTCGTTTAATCCATCGCGATCACGGTTTTCGTCAACGAAACCGGAAGCGACTTTACGCCTATGCGAGTCTCTCATGATTTACTCTTAATCTATTATATGCAAAATTTTTAGCAACTTTTATCTTCTCGTGGTAATTTTGCTTGTTTTATTTTCTGTACCTACAGTTTCAATTCATGTGAGTGAATTGTGGTATACTTTTTTAATTTATGAACTAAAGAAATTTAATTTCATTACTCTTAATGGGAAATATTAAATTACTTTTTTTAAATAGGGAATATTAATTTTATTCTTTAGTGGTGGATTTTAAATTAATTTGTTTTCCTAGGGGATATTAAATTAATTTGTTTTAGTGGAGAATATTAAATTATATTTTTCAATAGAGATTATTAAATTAATTTTTTTAATAAGGAATATTAAATTAATTTTTTGTTTGATAGGGGATATTGAATTATTTTTTTTAATGGGAAATTAAAATAATTTTTTTAAATAGGAATATTAAATTAATTTTTATTTTGATAGGGAATATTGAATTACTTTTTTTATTGGGGAATTAAAATAGTTGTTTTAAGTAGGAAATATTAAATTAACTTTTATTTTGATAAGGAATATTGAATTATTTTCTTTATTGGGAAATTAAAATAATTTTGTTAAATAAAGAATATTAAATTAATTCTTTTCAATAGGAAACATTAAATTAATTTTTTTTTAATGGAAAATTAAAATAATTTTTCTAAATAGGAAACATTAAATTAATTTTTTTTAATTGAAAATTAAAATAATTTTTTTAAATAGGGAATATTAAATTAATTTTTCTTAATAAGAAATATTAAATTCATTGTTTAATAATACAGTGTACTAAATCAATTCATTTTGAGAAGCAATATTAAATTAATTCATTTTAAGAAGGAATATTAAATTACATTTTCAATACTGAACATCAAATTATTTGCATTTCCAATACAGAATATTGAAATGAAATTTTATTATTTAAAAATCTAGCACGTATGAAAACGTAATTTTCGTTGTCAGTTATACAGAAACAGAATCGTTTAAATGATTTTGCAAACATCGAGAGAGAAATGGAAAATCGAACTGCCACGCGCTGTAACAATTAAACGTCACCTACACTTTATTCGTATTTTATTCCACGCTCCGTTATGAAAGAATTTAATTTTGCGCGTCGGAACAATTGACTTTTTATTTTGCGAGTGATAGCAGGAATATTACACAGCAATATATTAAATTGCAATTATTTAAAACGATAGACAAAAATTTTTATTAAAATATTATTCAGTTCTATAATATTAAACAAGTTTAGTTTTCGCGTTATTTTGAATGAACTGAAAATTAAAATTTATATAATAGAAGTTGTGTTTGTTAATTTGTTTCTTCATTGTTAATGGAACTGAAATTTTAAATAAAGGAGATACATCGTTAAGTTAGGTTAGGTTTAAAAAGAAAAGAAAGAGTTTCTTTGTTGATGTATACATATGTATAAATTTGTTTATATATTAACAAATGAACATATATAAATAAGTTTCTATGAAGATATATTTAAAAAAATTTTTATGAAGACACATTATTAAATTTCTGTGAAGATACATCAATAAATTTTTTCCAAAATACAAAAATAAGTTTCAATGCAGACACGTCAATGAATTTTTATGAAGATACATAAATGAATTTCTGTTAAAATAAAAAAACAAGTTTTAATGAAGATGAAGTACCTCTAATGACTTAATTATTAACTTCCAAAAAATCCTCACAAAATTAAGAAATTTCTTATTGAATATACTTGAAGCAAAATACACACAATAACAATAAGTATCAAGAAGAGTTTTCAATTTGATATAGAACCGAATGAAAATCCTGTAACAGCATCGCTGCAGGGGAACAGTTCATTTCCTCCTCCAAAAAAACGATTTCTAAAGGCAAACGTTTTCGTGTGGAAAACAATCCGGACAATTTACAGGGGCAGAAAAGTTATTGTAATAATCTCCGGGCGCCAAGCACTAACGTTTGCTAGCTCGCAAGCTCCGTAACGATCTCAGAAGGAAATCGTGCCAAGATCAGAGGCGGATTTCAAGGAAGCGTGCGATATCCTTGCAAAAATGATCGCACCAGGTTCGTTTATCGGCGCCACTGCCAACTCCGCGATTCGAGCAATCGCAATTCCAGGCCCCGAAAACAGCGGATCCCCTGCTGTTTCGCTCGAAACAGCGTCGCGACGTTACGAGGCTCCTCGCGCGGATAATTGACGAGCGTCGAAAAACGCGACCGGTTATGGCACCGGAATTACGAAACTTTGATAGGCAATTGACCAACGCAGTTTCGAAAGTCGAGTGAAATTGCTTCGGAAAATTCTGAGTCTCGTTCGGGTCGCGAGATAATTTTCAGTGAAATTTGCTGGTTAATGATGTGGACACTTAGGAAGAAATATTTGATGTACATTAAATTGTTAAGGAATTCGGAACGAGTGAAAGCTGCGAATTTTTATTAACCCGTTTCTAAATATTCTAAATATTTGTAAAAGATATTAGATCTGAGATATTCAAATTTGGTATATTGTTTTTAATTTGGTATATTGTTCTTCTTCGGTATGAGTTAAATTGGGAAATAGTTATGAAAGTCTTAAGTAGCTTAAAATGTGATTACTTCCTGGGGAAATCACCTCTAGATCGTTCACCTATGCAACCCGGTAAAAGTGCAGTCGCGACACACATTTGGACGTGAACGGGTACACGTAGGAAAATCGTGGTCATTGAGCAATCATTCCAGTTGTTCAAACATAATCGATTCGTTCACCGTGTCGCACAAGAAATTATATTCTTACGAAGTCGCTGCTGCGTGATCGCACTTGGAGAGTAGTTCAGTAAAATATATGCAAATATCAACGAAAGTGATACTCATCCACAAATTAATACTGTTCATAAAATCTTGACAAAAAGTATAAACAATATACAGTAGATAAATATGTAGACAATATATATACATGTATACATACATGTATTCATCACATATAATGTATTCATCATCTGATGATCAAAGAAGAATTAATAGTCGCCGACAGGATTTACAAAGTCTAGAAGATTCATTGCAAAAGTTCTTAAAATTCTGATCATGTCAATCCTTCCTCTTAGACAAGATTGATGATTCCCAGCGGATTTCTATCTTCCAGAATTTCAAGATTGTCTTGATAGCAACCTCGACCTCGTTCGAATTCAAAGAGGATTGAAAGCGCTTCAAATTCTGCGAACGTCTTCAATTCTTCCAAATTTCAAAGAAAGTTCCACATCAATCTTCTACGAGTAATCTCAAAATCTCCGTTCAAAGGATCTTCTTCAAATTTGTAAAACTTCGAAAGCTCTTCAATTTTCTTCAAAGTCTACAGAACTTCACACTTCGGTAAAGATACGAGTTTCAAAGAAACTCCTCTTCAGACCTAAATTTTCACTGAAATTTTTCGACTTCGGTTTTTGTAGAATTGAGGACCGTAATTCTTAAAGGAGTGGAGTTCGAAGCGATTGAAACGTATACGACCTTGCGGAGGACGCAACCAGGAAAAGGGCTCGGAGGACGTCACGTACGGGTCCTGTTAGCGCACTAAATGTCGCAATCCGTTGCTCGCCGTTCGTTTGAACGTAAGACGGCGGGTAGGGGCGATCACTTTCTCTTGTCGCAAACCAGCACCAGGCATACGTACAGTGCCCCGAGGAACACTTCACAACGAGTTTTTACCAAAGGAACAAGCAGTCCACGCTTTCGTCCGGTGTTCTGGTGCACGGAAGCCACGCGTTGCGAACAGGTGACATCGTGATCGATTTTGCGAGGACGTTGCGTTCGGATTAAAATTCGGGGTTTGGACCCTGAGGAGGATTGGTTGGTGCATGCTTCCGGATATTTGTGGATAAGGGTTCGAGTGCATCTTTAGGTTCGTTGTGGAAGAACTGTGCATTTGGAGGAATTTTGTGTGGACATATTTAGGTTCGTGAGTTGAGGAACCTTGGTGCATTTGGAGAACTTAGGTGTGAATGTTGTTAAATTCATTATTTGTTGGGGGACCATCATATATTTTGAGAAGTTTGATGTGAATGTTGCTAGGCTTGTGAGTTGCTGAGGAACCGTGGTGTACTTGGAGAATTTAAATGTGAATGTTAGGTTCATAATTTGCTGAGGGACCATCATATATTTGGAGAAGTTTGATGTGAATATTGCTAGGTCTGTGAGTTCCTCAGGAACTGTGGTGCACGTGGAGAACTTAAGTGTGAATGTTGATAGGTTCATAATTTGTCGAGGGACCATCGTGTTTTTGGAGAAGTTTGATGTGAATGTTGCTAGGTGAATAAATTGTTGAATAAATTAAGGATGATGAAAGCTGTGAATGTCGACTAGTTCAAGTCAGTTTTCTACATATATACGTGTGTGATAGTCTCTGAAAATTCTTTTAAAAGTATTTGGTAGTCATTTAGAATTTGATGACTAATAGCAATATTCATATACGTCAAGTTATAAATAGTCATGAAAAGACTACATTGGTGCATATAGTTCTAAATATTTGTTAATGAGGATCTTTCAAGTACCTCTTCAAGTATCTTCTATTTGCTCACGCATCATAATTTGGTAGTACTTTGTGAAGATGTTAATAAATCTTTTCTTTGAAAACAAAAAGTTTACTCAAAACAGAAGTATGAAATGTACATCAGATTTTTTTATAAAATTGCCAAAATCATTGAAGTATTAAATTGTTTAAAGATTCACGTACAGAAATGTATAAACTTATAAAATAAGCTTTGATAGATTTTATAGACTAGTCGATGTGTTAATAGTAATCGATCAATTTCTTTTATATAGTATTCCACAATGCGAATGACAAGCGCATTTTTTTTACTGGGATGCTACTTCTTGGTTTTGGCACTTGTCAGCGGAGCACCGAGACCAGATGAACCAGCTTTCGAGCTTCCGGTACAGCTGGTCGGCTTTCCGGTGATCATAGCTGCTGTTAGGATTACCAATTTTGTGAAGAAACTCGCGTACTCACTGAATCCAGGTAAATCTACCAAACCAACCTCTTTTATTTCTGTTGTAAAAATTACTTCCATGAAATTTAAAAATCCAACCAAAACCTTAAAACTTGAAACCAAATTCAAAATTAATAAATTTTAAATGGTATCTAACAAAAATTTGTAAACTCAAAATGGTACCTAACAAAAATTTTTCAATTTAAAATAGTGCCTAACAAAAATCTTCAAAATTAAAAATAAAATTAAAGTATAAAATCCATATAAAATTTTAAAGTATAAAATCCATATAAAATTTTAAAGTATAAAATCCATAAAACTGGAAAAATGTACTTAACAAAAAAATTTGTTGAATTCATTAGAATTAAAAAGAAGTAATGTTGATGTAATTGACTTCCTTAATAAAATAATCAAAAGAAGAAGTAATTTCCTTAATAAAATAATTTGAGGCAGAACCGTGATATTTTAATGAGAAGATAATGATACGATGCGTAGCAAAAAATGCAGAGTTAACGAGAGAGTTAAAACAGAGTTGCGTTTTAGATCCAGTGATCGCATGAGCAAGTTCAATGCTTCTTGATTATTCTAATCAACGGGAAGTTGCATCCGATCGCCGAAGCGTAGAGAATCTAAACTTCTTTACACAGGTAATCCATGCTTTTCGCGCGTGGATCGAATCGACGAGGAGCGAAAGCGAAAGTGTTCCACTTGTTGCAACTTCGTCGAAAGCACGGAATCTCGTGTAACGCCGTCGTAATTGAGGACATTGACGTTGAAAACGCGAGGTTCAATTTCCCCAAACAAAAAACAACATTTATTACGATCATTTAGTAATTATGGTTAAACGATTTGCATACATTAATAAAACTTTCTATCCAATTACCTGAAGGAAATTATAAAAGGTCGTAATTCCTGCTTTAGGTAAATTATACTTCTACATAAAATTTATAGACGGTTGTTTTCCTTCTGGTTAATTTACTCGAATGGCCGGCAAAATAATAGCTATGAAAGGTAATAAAGTTTGACGAACAATTATGGTGACAGTTTAATAGAACGAACTGTATCGTGCGCGTCAATTTTCATTAAAGTGAACTTCGAAGAAGCGTTGATTGCCCGTTGGGGACCGTCATTTGATGACTTCGCTGAAACGAATCACTAAAACGCGTCTGGATTGATGACAGCCATATGTCAAGGATTTCTGCTGAAACCTGAATAATGCATTAACGGAACTGACAGTGATGTGTCGTGGAAGTTTTAAATAATTCGAACAATGACATCTATCGCTTTTGACGGGACGTTAAATAAAAAAGTCGATAAAATTAAACTAAACTTTGGCAGGTTGTCACATTGCTATTATTTGAGTTTCTCTAAAAGTCCATTAGCAATAAAATTGATGTTTACTTAAGAGATGCTTTATTTAATTTAGACATCAAATACTTCTAATCAGAAAAATATTACAGAGATAAAATACAAGTAGCGAAATTTTGTGAAACTTGTAGATAAAAATGGAAGAAAAACTTGTAGATGAAAATAGAAATATAATAATGAAAGTGTAGTAATAATTAATTCTAAATATGTTTAAATACTAGTGCTAAGATGATAAAGAACATTAACCACATATGGACAAATCCATTAAGACCCAAGGTCAAAATTTTTAAATAACAAGATGTCTCAAGGATGAATTAAAAAGTTTTGACATTTACCACGTATTTTCAGAGACTTATGCCAACAGAGTGAAACGGACCCTGCCCCTAGTGCACGACGAAGAGATCCTAGACGTTGGTGAAGTCGAAAAGAAACTAATATCCGAGCTAGGAAACAATGTCTGCGTCTACGAAAGAATTTGCGCCAAATATGCAACCAAAACTCTGAAAAAACGAAGTCGCGAACGTGTTCTGGATTGGGATGTCGTCTTCAGGTACAATCTATATTTTACTCGATAATTATACTGATATGCCATAATCACTATTTATCACCAGTATCACCTGCCACAAATATTTAATACTTCGGGTTTATTACAGTTATTAAGAGATAATTGCGGATGTTCACGCAGTTATGTTACAGACGCGAGTCTAAATAAAAATATTTAAAAGTAGTTATTAGAGTAAACATGTGTAGATCTCGTAAATTAGATTATTTTGATCTGGATTATAATTATATAAACATCCGCAATTTCGTGATATCTTCTGTAATCGTTACCTACTTCTTGCAGTAAAAAGCAACTATCAGTGCAATTAATTGAAATGCATGTAGGTTGTCTGTGATAATTAGCATAAGCTGCAGATCTAAATGGACTTAGATTCACTCAATATTCTTCCAATAATAAAAACTACACGATCTGCGATAAATTATTCAACTGAATAAAATTAAATAGAAATTATTCAACTGCAAGTATAAACGACTTTATACCAAAATATAATTTCTCCATTTTAAAGTAGAACAAGAAATAAATAATAATAAGTAATAATGAATAATAATAAATAATACTAAGTAATGAATAATAATAGTAAATAATAATGAATAATAATGAAAATCGCAGCTGTATCTTTTTCACAATAGACTATGACTATACATTCCCGCGTTCCGACGCCATTTTGTGGTTACGCAAGATCTTCACGTTTTCCTGAAAGCTCACATCTTGTCCCCTCGTTTCCAATTCGAATAACATTTATCATTCAAAACAATAATGTAACAAAGTGTATCGCTGATTTCTTGCACGGATGTCCTTCGAAGATCGATTATCAAGTCGCATCAGTAAAACAAGAGCCGTGCCTCGATGACGACCGCGTTCCCGATACAATTGCATCTAATGCAACCACGACCCTGAAGTTCACGGTCCAGGTTTTTCACCTTCGCTTCACTCGATCCAGTTGTGAAACGACATGGACATGGAAACTTAATAACACTATCGTGGAAAAGTACTAACCCGTTTGCGCGGCCAATCGTAAACTAATGAAACGTGTTTCCTGTCATTTAGTTTCCTTTTTGTCCCCTTCGTTCCTTAATTGCGGGTCGACCCTTTTATCAAAGTTGTGTAACGTTGCAGGTTAATTAAACTACTTAATATATGTGAATTATTTTATACGGATATTCGGTAGCTGTCCAATTAAATTATATGGTGCTGGTAATTTGTAGCGCGAGATATAATTTGATGTCTTAATAAATGCACAGAAAGATTTGATACGGATATTAGGTTAATGTATTTTAGATAAAATTAGTATAAAATCGTTTCTTTTATGCTCAACACGTTATATTTGAGTTTCATTTAATGTACGTTCGTTTAAAGTAGGTAAAGTTGTTCATTTACAAATTGTAATTATTAAATGGTGATAATAAGAGAATATAAATAGAATGTAGTAACGCAACAGGTTAAATTGTAGGTTTTATAAGTTTTATGGTAAATAGCTTTTTCGTAATGCTTAATGTGTAGCAATCCTAGTAAAATGTTGCAAGGTATTACGTTGCATGGGTGTTCTAGGACTTCGTTCGTATTCGCAGAGTGTTTATGCTAATCAGATTTGTGTTGCGTCGTCTGTGATGAAAGGCACTTTCGAGGTTCTATGAATCACGTAATGAGAGAAATGTCTGCGACTTCGACATTGATTGGAACTTGTGAAATTTTCATAAAAATTTAAATTTATGAAATCTTCAAATATTAAGCCTCTGAGTCCTCAAGGTCTCAGACTCTCAAATTTTTATATTTCGGGATGAACAGATTCTCAGATTTCTAAATTTTCCAAATTCTCAAATTTTTTAATTTCCAAATTCCCACATTCCCCAATTCCTGCATTCCTCAATTTCCACATTCCACAATTTCCATATTTCTCCATTACCACATTCCCCAATTCCCACATTCTCCAATTCTCACATTCTCCCATTCCCACATTCCCCAATTCCCACATTCCCCAATTCCCACATTCCCCAATTCCCTCATTCTCTAATTCCCACATTCCCCAAATTCCACATTTACCAATTCCGACATTCTCCAATTCCCACATTCCCCAATTCCCTCATTCTCTAATTCCCACATTCCCCAATTCCCACATTCCCCAATTCCCACATTCCCTAAATTCCTAAATTCTCAAATACCAAATAAATTCTCCAATTCCCTCATTCCCCAATTCCCTCATTCCCCAATTCCCTCATTCACATTCCCCAATTCCCACATTCCCCAAATTCCACATTCACCAATTCCCACATTCCCCAATTCCCACATCCCCCAATTTCCCACATTCCTAAATTCCTAAATTCTCAAATACCAAATTCCCAAACTTCAAAACCCCAAAATCCTTCACTCCACAAATTCCAAATAAACGTCAACTTTCCCCTCGCCAGAGGTGTCCCTATACCTCCAACACAGACTATTCCAGGAATTCCCCGATAATTCGTGCAGGACGATCGACCTCGATAAATTCCTGGAAGAAGGTACGAGCCGAACGGTACGGTCCTCTTCTAATGGTCCGGCACTTTCCTCCAATAGAGGAGCTAATAGAAATCCGTGCTACCGGTTCTTTCTCGGCCGCCTAGCCACGAGCTCGCACTAAATTCGGTTGCAAGTAACGCCAGCACCAGATAGCCCTTAATGGCCGCTCCACGGGCGACCTAATGCATCCTGATAACTCTGCCCCGTCCCTTTGCCCCGCTCCTTCTCGGTTTTACGAGCGTCGCGAGCTATCTGCGAGCTGTATTCTGGGGGTTCGAGGGCTTATCTGCGATTCCTCGACGTTGCTTGCTTCGAGATGGCCAGCACGTGTCGTCGACGACGAAACTCGTCGGTTAATCGGTTCTGTCACCTGTGCGGACATCTTGCTGAAGAGCAGGGACGACCAATCGAAGATTGCTTGTGGCAACTTCAGCTTTCGAGAGAATTAATGGACCGTGGATGAAGGACCGACCACCGGTCCTCGCCAGGACCTCCTGTGGCTGAAGAATTGAAATTTCTGAGGTTTTAGATGTTGCTACCAGATTATCTCTTTTAACAGGAATTTATTCGTGGTCACTTTGTATGTACATTTTTTGGAGGATATTATAAATTCATTTTTATGGTGATATTATAAGTCAATTTTTGCGATGATATTACAATTATGAGTTCATTTTTGAGCTAATGTTATAAGTACATTTTTATGATTGCGATGTAAATATCCACTTAAAGCTGATAATAAGGTTGTTTCATTTAGGGACTGTTCATAAACATGGTTGTATAATTAAATTTCTAGAACATTTATTGTGAGTGTGATATATGAAAGCATATTGCAAGGATGGGATATGGAAAGCATTAAAGAAGTTGGTTAATAATATTTCTAAAAAATATTAAATATGAAACATGACTTAAATTATTTTTTACAAGTTGACCATCAGGGTGGTCCATTACAACCCTCATTACAAATTTAGACGAATTCATCATTTACAAAGAAAGTAGACTGAAGGACCTTTTGAAGTGTCTCAAATTTTAGAATTAGATTGGTAACTGTCCTACATCAATATCTGATCAATATCTATTGAGTAATCGATACCTGATTGATCAGTACCTGCTTGAGTGATCGATGGTTAAAGAAGTATCGTCTCCTTTGAGAACGAATATAAAAATATGTCCCCATCTAAAAGTTCATTAAATTAAACTAAAATATGAAGGTACCAAAACCAAACACCAAGCACCCATATTTAGCAAAGCAAATTTCTATAAAATATTTTAAAGAGACAATGCGTCTTTGTACCCAGCACACAATAATTTATATCCCCAGTACAAGAGCTCGTTAAATTTTCATATTGGAGCCGAACACGAGGCTAACGTCTCCGATTCGTCGTTTCACAGGGAGTACAAGTCGTCGCCAAACCCGATGAAGGAGAATTATTTATTGAGCGTGTTCCTGGGCGACATCATAGGCAGCCCGCGGCTCTGTCATCAGTTGGCGAAGAGAGGAAGAGGTTGCGACCAAGATACGCTCTCGGATTAACTGTAAACCATCGTTTATGCGGTGCAAAACCAAACTGCTGTACAGACTGTAAATACTAAGATGATATAAACTTCTTGTTTTCTACTGGGTCGTTAATCCCCTGGACAAGGCTGCAGCTGCGTTTGAACAAGAACTCTGTTCCTCGAACTGCGTTCATACACTACCAGCCAAAAGTCGCGGACTAATTGTCGATTAATGTACAGAAAGAAATATTAGTATTGTTTTTATGAAAATTATGGGAAGTTTTTTTTATTTTTCACCTGGTATGAAGGCGATGGGTTTGGGGTGATTTTGGTGAAGTGGGAGGGTTAGATCTACATGTGCTATGTTATGTTATGTTTCTTATGTTTTCATTTCTGAAGTTCGTAAATTTTCAAATTTCTAAAGTTTACAAATCATGAATTCTTACAATTTTCATGTACCCAACGTTCTGAACACTTCCAAATTTTTTAAGTTCTCAATTCCCCAAATTCTCAAACTCCCAAATTACTAACATCTCCAAATTCTCAAGTCTCAAAGTTCTCAAATTCCCATAGTTCTAACTTTCCCAAATTCTCAGTTTCCAAAATTCTCAAGCTACTAAATTCTCAATTTCCCAAATTCTCAACTCCCAAAATCCTCAATTTCCCAAATTACTAACTTGCCCAAATTCTCAATTCCCAAATTCTTAATTTTCCAAAATCTCAATTTCCCAAATTCGCAACTCCCCAAATTCTTAATTGCTCAAAATCTCAATTTCCCAAATTCTTAACTCCCCAAATTCTCAATCTCCCAAATTTCTAACTTTTCCAAATCCTCCACTCCTTAAATCCTCAGCTCCCCAAATATCTAAATTTCCCAAATCCTCAGCTCCCCAAATTTCTAGCACCCCAAATTCTCAAATTTGCAAATTTCCAACTTACCCAAATCCTCAATTCCCAAATTCTTAATTTTCCAAAATCTCAATTTCCCAAATTCGCAACTCCCCAAATTCTTAATTGCCCAAAATCTCAATTTCCCAAATTCTCAACTCCCCAAATTCTCAATCTCCCAAATTTCTAACTTTTCCAAATCCTCCACTCCTTAAATCCTCAGCTCCCCAAATATCTAAATTTCCCAAATCCTCAGCTCCCCAAATTTCTAGCACCCCAAATTCTCAAATTTGCAAATTTCCAACTTACCCAAATCCTCAATTCCCAAATTCTTAATTTTCCAAAATCTCAATTTCCCAAATTCGCAACTCCCCAAATTCTTAATTGCCCAAAATCTCAATTTCCCAAATTCTCAACTCCCAAAATCCTCAATTTCCCAAATTACTAACTTGCCCAAATTCTCAATTCCCAAATTCTTAATTTTCCAAAATCTCAATTTCCCAAATTCGCAACTCCCCAAATTCTTAATTGCTCAAAATCTCAATTTCCCAAATTCTTAACTCCCCAAATTCTCAATCTCCCAAATTTCTAACTTTTCCAAATCCTCCACTCCTTAAATCCTCAGCTCCCCAAATATCTAAATTTCCCAAATCAGCTCCCCAAATCCTCAGTACCCCAAATTCTCAAATTTGCAAATTTCCAACTTACCCAAATCCTCAATTCCCAAATTTCCAAATACTCAAATCTTCAAATCCCAAATTTCTACACCTTCAAATCTCCAAATCCCCAAATTCACAAAGGTCCAATTTTCCAAACCCCCACATGTCTGGATCCTTAGACTCCTAACTTCATTATCGACGTTCCAACGTGTGTTCTGTTTACATGCTCAGCAAGTGAGTCGCGTAAAACGAGCACGCGAAGAAGTGAGAGTAGCACGATGACGTTTCATCCTACCTACGCTTCTTCAAGTTTGTATGCGAGGAACGGTTCCGAAGAAAGTTCCAGTTGCCGTGGAACTGTGACACGATCATCCGCGAAGCGTGTCAGTTCGCTTCACGATTCTTTAGCAAGACATTCACTACCTCTTCATAGTATCCACAAATTTTAATTTAACTCCCTTAAAATCACTTGATTCAATAACTTTATAAAATTCATCAAAGTTCATCAGAGTAAAGCTATAAAATTCATCAAGGTAAATCTACAAAATTCATCAAAGTTCACCAAAATAAATCTAAAAAATTCATCAAAGTTCATCAAAATAAATCTACAAAATTCATCAAAGTAAATCTACAAATTTGATCAAAATAAGTCTACAGAGTTCACCAGAATAAACCTACAAAATTAAAGTAAATACAAAAAAATTCATCAAAGTTCCTCAAAATAAATCTACAAACTTCAAAGTGCAAAAGTACCGGGATATCGAATTAAGTATACATTACGGTGTCACTGGAAAAGTGACAGTGATCCTCGTCAAGGCGGCCTAACGAGTCCCTGAAACGTAATCCAGCGTTAAATTGAACACTGAGAGGACAAGACGTTGTCGAAGAAACGAAGAGTCACAGGATGATATTCAGATTCGTCCTTATTTGTCTGGTGCTTCGATTCGACGTTCGCGCCGAGGATCGTTTTCAAAGGACTTCGCAGGATAGCGACGGTGCTCGTTACTGCGACTTCGACGAAGCACGAAAGAACTACAACGTGACCGATTTGCTGCAGTGAGTACGGAATCGAATTACTCGACGACCGAGACGGGAAAGAGATTTGAATAATTCAACCGGAAAAACGTTGGTCGCGTAGGTGTATCGATCGATTGGTTGCCGATTTGGTGGATCGAGAAAGCGATCGGTGGGTGAGCGAAGGTCAGTGGAACGGGTCGACTGGCAGACAGATCTCGTTTATGGATATTTTCTCCAGCTTTTTTGAGAATAGTGGGGTAGGTTGAAAAATTTATTATAATTGAGGCGGACAATTTTTAATTTAAACTCAAGTTTGTTTAAGATTGTTAGTTATTGAAGAAAGTAGAGAATGTTGAATCAGAGTTTAGGTATTGTTTGGGTAGGTTCTTTGGTTTTGATGATTTGAAGATGGTTGGATGATATTTGACAGTGAATCATATTTCATATTGATGAAATATTTTACAGTTAATGAGAATATATTTTCAGTGAGTTTATTTAAATTTGTTTGAACAAAATTTATTCCTAGGAAAAATTATAAATTAGTACTTCAAATTAGTATATTGTAACAAAGTTATACATATGAATAGTTACTAAATTACTCAAAATTGTTATTAACCTCAGTCATTCTTGTCACTCATTCATTTTTATAAAAAAATATAGTAAAACTTGCAAATATAAATACAAATACAGCTGCACATATAAATACAAACAAAAATACGAATTAAATGCAAAAACACTGAAAGGTCTAATAAGTCAAAAACAATAATAAATTTCCTACACGTTCAAAGTTTATTCAAGAAGTTTCAAAGTTTCATTTCAAACTTTCAAGTTTTCCTTTGTTTATCTCGAATGACGTTTGGGGGTTAGGTTATGTTAGGTTAGGTTAATTTTCAATTTTTTTCTCTAACACTCGAGACAGATCATATTTCAGATTCCCAAAGCAAAGAGAGAACAATGATCAATTATTCGAACGAAATTCGCTACTCCCGCACGAACTTTCCGTAACTTTTCTGCTTGCAGCCACATCAGAACAACCCCCTTCCGGTGTACCCTACTTCCGGCCAGTATCCATCGAATCACCCCTCTGTATCAGGTGGAACGTTCGGAATATCCCCAGGATTCAAGCTGAACCTCTTCGAAGCCTTGTCGACTATATCTCGACACGATGACTATAAATGTGTGCCCAGAATACTCTGCGAAATGGCCAGCGGAAAACTTCCGGGAAGGTCGATAGGCAAACAACTGTCTGGGTTCTTTGACTTTTTTGGAAGAAACACTATTATGGGGTATGTTTCTTGGAGAGCAGTTGTGAGAAGTTATTTTGGAAGTACTGAATATTTTAATAATAATGGTTTTCTGCGTTCACTTAGTTATTACTAAATAACTACTTAAAGACACTAAATACTTAATTTAGCTGTTACTAAATTTTGCAAGGTTATAAATTTTTAAGTTTGCACAGCGGTAGAGATATACATTTCTAAATTTCTAAATCTTGAATTCATTAATTTTATCATTCTCAAATTGCCAAATTTTCAAATCTGCAAATTCTTAAATTTCTGAATTCTCAAATCCCCAAATTCTCAGATCCCTAAATTCTCAAATTCCCAAGTTCACAAATCCCCAAATTCTCAATTTCCCAAGTTCTCAAATCCCTAAATTCTCAAATTCTCAAATCCCTAAATTGACAAATCCCTAAATTCTCAAATCCCCAAATCCCCAAATCCCCAAATCCCCAAATCCCCAAATCCTTAAATCCCCAAATCTTCAAATCTTCAAATCTCCAAAATCCTCAAATCTCCAAATCTCCAAATCCCTAAATCCCCAAATATCCAAATCCTTAAATCCCCGAATCTCCAAATATCCAAATCCTTAAATCCCCAAATCTCCAAATCCTCAAATCTCCAAATCTCCAAATCTTCAAATCCCCAAATATCCAAATCCTCAAATCTCCAAAATCCCTATACCCCCAAATTCCCAAATCCCCAAATTCCCAAATCTCCAAATCCCCAAATTCCCAAATTCCCAATTTCACAAATTCCCAAGTTATCACTGAAATACTTGCTACAATGTTCAAAGGAACTCTGCATTCACAAGATTTCTTCTTCTCAAAAGGCGTCAAAGATTTACTTTTCGTCGCCTGTTCATGTTTTCAGTTGGCTGAGCAACTTCGACATCGAGGGTGCGTCTCCTTTACTCAACTTCGGCAGAGCCGTGCTACTTGGATATAGTAATCGCGGAAATTCTGCAGCGTGTTACGAGACTTTTCCGAAGTGTCCAAAAGACATGAACTCTCTGATTTATTATTTGAATAATTATAATGGCGGATTTTTTAGGTTATTCAACAGGGTTCAGGGTGGAAATTATCGAGATGATAGTAATCGTTATTATACAGGTACAGGGTCAAAAACAATTTAATTTTGGCAATATATATTTTTACTATTTTAATTCTAGTCAAAATATCATCTATTCTAATTTATAATTAGACATGTATCTATAATCTAGATATGTATCTATAACGTATCTATTATCTATAAGTTATAATAATTATTTAGCATGATACTTTAGCAAAATGATATAAGAAATAAATTTTTATATGTAGTTATTCAAGTATTACTTTTTGAATTTCTTTCTGTTACAGATAATTCGAAGGTAATAATAAAAGGAAGAATAACCTCTGGAATAAAGAAAGATAACAGAATCAGACCCGTTGGAAATCAAATTTATTTTCCGAGCATCAAGTACTATGAACACTATGAGAAACAAGAACCTTCGAGTTATAAGGAAATTTCTAGTGGAAATGAGATCATTTTCCCGAATCAAAAATCTCCAAAGAATACACTTATTATTAATAGTCTACAAAATCATGACTATAAGTCGGAGTCGAACGTTTGGCACAAGAACGTCGCATTTTTCCCTCAGGTAATTAAAGGCACAAGATAACTACAACACAAGTAATAACAATAGACATTCCAAATAATTAAAACATACATTTGTAAATTTACTTATTTGCAAATAATTGATTGATAAATCCTTTAGAAAGAAGCAATGTGAGAGTGTGAACAAATAATTTATTTGCATTTACAATAATTTTCAAAAATTTAACCTGCATGAAAATTTACAGGAGACAAGTGACAAGAGGTTCTCTGGATTTCGATTTCCAACTATCTACCATTAAAACAAAATTATATATTATAAATAAAGCGATGAATATAATAATTATCCAAAACGGAACTTTATACAAATAATTAATTACCAACAAAAATTTAATAACTATCAATCTCTGATCACTAGCTTCTCAGCTACCTTCGTTATTCAAAATAAAAAATTCTCATCTTCGCGCAAAATAAGTATTGCAAAATTATTAAGTTAAACGATAAAGGTAGTTATTGACGAAATAACAAGTTTGTCGTAGATGAGTACAAATTTGCGCAAGATTATCAAGGAGAGAGGATTATTTCGTTTATTTCATCCGTGCCGCTCCCACCGAGTATTTTCTATCCACCTGTAGAAGGTGAGCTCGTAACAGGAAGTCCCTAGTCGGTGAACGCGATGTTACTGGCCCGAGTGCCGTTTGTGGAAACAGCATGGGGTGCCGTTAGAGCACCGCCAACTTGTCCAATGAATCTGCGACCAAGCACGAGCCACTTTATGTCTCAGTTACGCGACTCGATAAATTGTATTTTATCCTGCATCGATTTCCTGCTCCCTACGAGTCCGCGTACGGTATCTACAGGGTGTATGTTACTGTATTACACACTTTCGGTACGTGGCAGAAAAATGTTTATGAACAGGAGTTAATTTTAAGGTGGCTATAAATTGATAGTTTTAATTTCGCTGTAAGTTGATAATTACAAGTTTGTTGTAAGTTGATAATTTCAAGTTTGTTGTAAGTTGATAATTTCAAGTTCACTCTAAGTTAACAATCAATTTTAAGTTTGTTGTAAGTTGATAATCAATTTCAAGTTCACTCTAAGTTAACAATCAATTTCAAGTTCGTTGTAAGTTGATAATCAATTTCAAATAGGGTGTAGATTATTACAATTTTAAATTGGGTATAAATTTTTAATGAATCTCATATTGGGTGTAGATTGTTGATCAATTTCATATAGGGTATAGATTGTTAATCTCAAGTTGGGTATAGATTGTTGACCAATCTCATATCGGTTGTAAATTGTTAATCGACCTCAAATCGGTTGTAAATTGTAGATCAATCTCAAATGGAGTGTAAATTGTTAATCAATCTGAAATTGGACGTAGATTGTTAATCAATCTCAAATTGAGTGTAGATTGTTAGTCGACCTCAAATTGGATGTAGATTGTCAATCAATCTCATATCAGCAATTACTATTTTTTAAGACATAAATCCAACACAATAATCATTATAAATTTGTTGTAATACGAAAATATTGATTCATTATATGCACTGTGAGGTACAATTACAAAAAATATAAATAAACGTAATAATATAAAAAATCAAAATTAAAGGGTGTTTTTGAAATCTAAAATCTTGTAAATAAAATTTCTACATGAACCATTACAAAAATTGTACACAAATTTTAACTAGGTTATGTCAGGAATTCAGATGCATCTGCAGTAAAATCAAAATTAGATTAATTTAATTGTACCAATATTGTAATTATATGTATTGAGTTATAAAGAAAGAGTGAAAATAAAACTTACATTTAAACAATATAATTTTACACTAATACCAATATCTGAACAATATAATTTGCTACTAATATTGGTATTTAAACACTATAATTTTACATAGTTTCTTACAGTAAATTTGAACAATTTAAGTAACGAGAATCTCTAATATTAGTTTTTCAAGTTTTAACCCTTCTATCCCGCCAGGCACATAATCGTCCGGGTGAAAAATAAATATACGTGTGAGCGGAAACATTATCGTGATATTCGTAGGGACTTTTCAGTAACGATCAAATGGGAGGAGCTGCGAACGGTCGACGACACGCGAATTCTCTCAAACAGTTTCGTTATATCTACATTTTTTAAACGTCACGCTTCCACGCGTGTACCTTATTGCAACCCCTGTTCACCTGCGATAATTTCGCGAGAGAAGCGATAATTTTCGACCGTGAGATAGCAGGTAGGTAATAAGCAATGGCAACAGCTTGCATTTGTCATCATTGTAGCACACAGAGGGATTAAATTATGCACAACGGTATAATGACGAGTTATGAACTACCCTTTAGCTTCATAACCAACGCGACGAGGTGAGTCGCGTTATTGTGAGCTCGTTAATGCTGCATGTTGTCCGTTGCAAACGATTACTTTTATTCTCGTTTTGACCTGCTATCGTAAATACTCGGTGCAATATTTACTTTTACACTTTCCATGTTCTCAGATTTTTCCGTTTCAAGATTTTTAGATTTTTGGATTTTTAGGTTTTTCGATTTTTGGATTTTTCGATTTTCAGATTATTGAATGTTTAGATTTGTAGATTTGTAAATTTCAAGATTTCTAGATTTCTAGATTTCTAGCTGTCTAGGTATTTAGTCTTTTCAATTTTTAGAGTTTCAAGTTTGAAGGTATAGAAATTCTAAATTGAATACTTGAAGAGCTTGAAAAATAAATAAAAAATTACTGAACCCCCAATTTCTACATTTATCAATTTCCAAATTACCCAGCACCTTAAATCCACAAGTCTTATCCCCATAAACCAAAAAAAAACCATCTACACTCCCTTCCTTCCTACAAAAAGCGGTCCAATATTCAACCCAAAAGATCCACCATCGTTTCACAAGCCTCCAACCGTCCATAACACGCGCCTCCCCCCAAATTCACGCATACAACGATCCCCGAAAAAAAGAAAAACGCTCGAAAAGAACTGGGAAGGTTGTGGGGGAGGACGTGTAATTATTTTATCCTTTCTAGCGTGTAATTCGAGGCGTGCTCGCGTCCGAGAGTTCGACGTAGGGTGAGTCGAAGGGGGTGGAAATAGTGTGGCCACGGCGATTGCCGTAGCCTGGAGGGCCGTGTGCCTTGGACAAGGCCAAATAGGGTGCAACTGACAGCGAAAGACAATTAGCCTTCTGATACATCCAATGTCGCCCGAAACACCGAGACACGTCTCGTGAATTCGCTACGCGCCTCCTGAACACCAGCCTCGACGATGGCAAACACTCGGGGGTTGTACGTGATTGTTCCTGGCAACCGAATGGGCCGTCCTTCGATTCGGCTTCTATAGCATCGCGTAATTGAACGGTGATTTTTGTATCGGATAGGGGGTCATTTCTGGTGAACGTTGTGGGAGATTCGTTTTAATTCCTAACCTATACGTGAATTGTAGATGGCGCTTTGAGTGACAAAATTGTGATGGACGTTCTCTTAAAATTATACTCAATTATAGTATTTCATTTTTGTATGAACATTATAGATAATCATTTGAACGCTTTAACAGTGTCAATAAAATTTAAACATATTCTTGCTCCATGTTCATATGTGTTCATATGTTCAACAAAAATACATGTTATCCATTAGGAGCAACGAACTATCAATTATTAAAAAATTTGAATTTAAAGAATGTTAAATCTTGCTCCACATGTTCATATGTATTCATATGTTCAACAAAAATACATGTTATCCATTAGGAGCAACGAACTACCAATTATTAAAAAATTTGAATGTAAAGAATGTTAAATCTTGCTCCACATGTTCATATGCATTCATATATTCAACAAAAATACATGTCGTCTATTAGCAGCAATGAACTATTAATTATTAAAAAACTTGAATTTCAAAAATGTTAAAAATTGATAAACAATTATGAACATATTTAAACACCCTTATGTGTAAGAATATGTGTCAGCATATGTGTGAAACAATACATCACATACATGTTGAAAATTGATGACCAGTTACGAACATATTTAAACACCCTTATGTGTAAGAATATGTGTAAGGATATGTGTGAAAAAATACATCAATTTTTTGTTCAATTACAGTATAAAATACAAAATGATACACAACTAACCCTCATCCTTTTAAAATCTTCTACCTGGATACACATGATGTGTGTAATCATCACTAAACCAATAGCACGCAACCACCATTAAGTACCTTAATCAAAGGCACTGCGAAGAAATCAATCCGCAACCCCGGTCGAAATTGAAGACACAAATCAAGGATAAACGGGTAACAGGCTGAAGGTAGTCCGCAAAGGACGAGACTATGATTCCGTGCGACGCCATCCCGCGTAATCTCACTCTATTAGAACGGTATTATTTTCCGTGGTAGACATCAAAGAGGATTTCCCGCGGGCTCATTGTATCGTCGTGATAATTCCTCGTTATTAGGAGCTCGCCGGGAGCGTTGGTCTCATGTCGGCTTACCACACCCCAAGTGCCGAAACAAATCCTTCCGAATTGGAGCCGATGCAAAGGAGCCCTCCTCCTTCGACGAGCCACCGACAAAAGGACCAACAGGAGCGCGACGAGGGGACGCCATAGTCGCGTCATAATCCCCGTGAAAAATGCGTCACAGGTGAACGGGGCCATCGAACCAGGTGAGGCTGAAAGGGAAAATCGAATTTTCCGGGGACTGACGGGGTTAATCAAGTGTCCTTGATCGGGGATCGAGCGGCAACATAATTAGACGGTTTCAGGGGTGGATTGTAGCTACATAGGGGTGCTGCGAGGATTTTGTGGTCCGTTTCGAGGAGTATTTGCGTTGGTAGTCGGTGAGGGAAGGGGATCTTTTAATTGGAACTTGTAATAATTCTTTCGGGGATTGTTTTCATTTCCTTAATATAGTGACACTAAATAAAGAATCTTAACTATAGAGCATAAATATGATAGGGGAGGAAGAAAATTAGGAATCCGTAGGAGTTAATCAAGGATCAATAATACGGTGGACGGTGCACAAAATAAGACATAAATTCCCCGGGAATTCCAACCCTCCGTTTAACCATAAAACACCGC